AGGATCTTCAATTTTCTGAAAGCTGGTGCAAAATTATGAGTTTATTACCAGATGTCAGACTTTGCACCATGAAAACCCATCACAGCCACTCTATAACTGAATCTACAGACTAAAGTGTCATTCAACTATATCATTTTTGGAGAGTCTTGAAAAGTAGCCTACAATATGCAGGATGTGCATTTTTCTGAATTTTCAAAATATATGCAAGAGTTCAAATCAAATGTAGGCTACCGTAGTTCAATCAATCTAAATTAAACTTAATTTTTTTTTTAATTACATGATGTGTTCTTAGTCTTAGTAAGGGCGTGGGGTGGGGAAATACCGTAGTTTTTGACACTATCAGACGAAAGCCAATGGAAAATGAAAAGCTCCTCTTTCTAAACAAAAAACAAAAAAAAAGAAATTAGCTAGAAAGATTTGAAATGGCTGAAAGTAAGTGACTAGTAATTCAAATTGTTATTCCCATACAATTGAAATTGGCAATGGCAGCTCTTTTAGACATTACATCTAGGAAACCCTGAAAATAAAATAAACACACCAAAAAAACAAAAAAACGCATCTCCTTACTTAATAAAAGGGAAATTTTTTGCCTGCCACACAAGAGAAAATGAGTTTGATTCCTGTGTGAGGCAGGCTATTAATCCCAGCTGGTGTACAGCCTGGGTCGGCTGTGATGTTCAGGGACAACACAGCCTGTCTCTTACATGATAAAAAATAATAATACACTGACCTAGACCTAAATTGTGCAGATGGGTACGTAAAACTACATTAAAAACCCAGTAATGTACACAAAAATAAAATGAATACAAACAAAAAAAATTAGGCCCCGAAAAAATTATTATTATTAAATGCTGATAATTTATTATATAGCGCCCATTCCAGCACAATACAGCTCTAGGTGCTTTACAATACTTCAACTTAAAATAATGTCAGTGAACATGCATAATGATCGTTCTATAGATTAATGCTAACATACATTTAACTTAATTTAAGCAAACATTCATACCATAACAGCACAATCAACAACGGAATATAGGCCTAAGCACACCACATTATGAACATAAATATTTGATTAGATAGGACGAACTATCAAGATGGCATTTAATAGGGTATTTTAAAAAAGAATTAAAAATTTTGTCTCCTCCTTTACACCACTCCAATGTGGGAGTAAATTTCAAAATAATAAGAAAATTGATTAATGACAGATTACAAGCTGAGAAAGACATGCAGAAAAACACACATCCCATAATTTACCTCCCAACCCCCCCAAAAAATTGTTTCTAGGAATACACAGATCAATGCAGGTTTTCTTCAAAAACAAAAGACAGAGGATAGATGTACAGTCAATCTTGTTGTACCACCCCCCCCCCCCCCCCCCCCCCCCGGTTGAAATATAAAAATTTTGCCAATGTATGAAAAGGAGCGCCTATATAAACATTGTATTACTCTTTCACACTGCCATTCGCCAAATGTACAGTCCTTATTTAAGAAATATAAATATGCCCTGCCAAACTGTCAGCAACTGTCTGTCAGAGGTGCACACAGCACACACAGGCTGGCTAATTGACAATCTTTCTGCCATGACAAAGAGAGAGAAGACACTCGGCTCTGAATACATAAGTGCATGTCCAAGTGTATCACCAATAAAAAGCCACTTTTCAAACACAGATTGTACAGCAGAATCATGCCCCTTGATGTTGGGCAGTCGGGACAATACAACTTTGAACCGCCTGCCCCGCTGTTCAGCCAACTTCATGCTCATCCCAAGGATGGTGGTATTATTAGGAGGTTTGACTATACTACAAAATATGAGAGACAAAAATTTTCACAAAATGCAATACCTCGTATTTCACTTCTACAGCTAGTGCTACCATTCAAACTTTTCAAGGAATTTTGAAAGCATATTTTTTCACTCATATAAAGCAAAATTATTTCATGAACCCATTTGATGGAGAAAAAAAAAACTGCTGCATCATAAGCATAAAACTAAAATAGAGGAGAACAATTGCCAAAATACAGAAAAATTCAGGGACAAACAAAAGCTGGTAACTTGATTCCACCAAAAAATAAAAGAACAAAACAAAACCAAAACATTTGCCGTTTTGACCCTAAATTCCATAAAGGCTGCAGAAAAGGCTATGGTCGCTTTTAAGGACAAGAATCGGGCTAACCCAGATTTCGGGGGTTTCCAGAAATCATGACCTACATCAAAAGTGGGCAATGCCCTACCCATAGAGGAGAAGTTTTGTTTCAATGGTGCGTAATATATTTGTTTGGATTTATAAAGAAAACTCTCCTTGTTTTTTTAAAGAAACTGAACAAGGGGCAAAAATTTTACCTTAGATTTTCTCAAAACAGCATTTTTTGGGATAGCCCCCGTGTGCTTAAAAAAAGCAACCATACTATAAAGATTGCTTATTTTTACAACCAACAAAATCAAATACTTAATCATGCAAAATTTTTTAAAGTAGAGTCTTTAGTTATAGTAAAGTATCTGGTCTTTAACCCTTTCGTTGCCAGGGGGTACGCATTCCTACTGTCAGCACTGATTTTCAGCTGAGCTCGTTTCCTAGGATAGCAACCTTAAGTCTCAGAGTCAATGCACACGCGGTCTAGATCTAGTGCGCTCTGAACATATTTTGGACACCGGGTCTTCGATTGTCACTTTTCTTATTCCCCATTTCCTCCCATCTTACTCATAATTTCGAATAACCCGCAAATCTAAGTAAAAAAGTAAATTTATTTGCCTTTTTAAAGTCATTTCGATGTTTACTTTTTCGAGACTCGTATGCGGCCACCCGCAAGCCTAGATTTGTATAAATCAATCGCTTGCAAGCTTAATACTAAAGTAATACTAGCAAATTTGGTACCGATATGCGCGTCTTTTATTTCCGAATCATACTAATCTATCCAGCGCTTGTTGCTAAAACTCCGGGCAGAAGAATTAGAGCCTGGTTATTAGCATGACCTACTTGTAACGTAGGTAACCAGGAGCAGCAAATTTTGCCAACTTCTGTGATACATGATACGGCACAGCGCTAAAAATTACGCATTTTCATGACATACCAGGTACATCATATATAAGGCAAGGAAGGGGTTCAGACAAAAATTCTCTACTGTGATTATTTTTTAATCTTTACCCTTTTGTTGTCATGGGGTGTACAGTGGAACTTGGGTTCAACTAGCTCGAATTCAGTGAGGAGAGATGGATTCCCCGTTTTTTTTTCTTCTTTAAAATCAATCAAAATGACCTGGATTCACCGAACACTTAAATCAGCAAGCTCGGATTCAACAAGGTCGCTTCCATGGGGAATAGCCCCCGAAGACGTGGCTTCGCTCAGTTTTCTCTCACAACAAACTTTATCTATTCCTGAAAACCATCCATTGCACCTGCATCGTGAACAATTATTCACTTAGCCGATTGCATGCGACCACTTAGCGGCCTTCTTTCATAACAACACAAGCGTTGTTGGCACGCGCACATGTCTACTCTAGCATATGTCGGGGTGGGATTAACGGCCCGCACACATGTGACCGTCTGTGCGTGTCAGGGGGGGGGAGGGGGGCCCACCATCGGTCCGAGAGTGGAACGTCGCAGACTATACAAATGCGTCAGTCTTTTTCATCCCCGGTAACTGATCATATTACAATGATAAGCTAGTCTTGACGTAGATCTATGTAATGAATTGTGTGCTGGTCTATGGAATCAAATGTTGCCGTATGCTAGGCTCTACACAGCAACACAACTTTTTGGCAAACAATCAAAATGACACAGGCATGCATTATTTGAACGAATGGGAATAGGTCTCTTTTTCACAGCTTATTATATTATATTTATAGGCAGGCATTTCAGGCACCACTTGCTTACCTTTATATACATTACTTTCTCAGTGCCTGTAATTATCTACACTAAACCTCCTGTTTGCTTGAACCAACACTTGGATTCAACAAGATTTTAGGTCAGGCCCTGCGACCTCGTTGAATCCGAGTTCCACTGTATGCGTTCCCCAGGTCAGCAGTCTTATTATATCTCAGTGTTAGTGGACTCATGGTTTAGATCTAGCGCACTCATGGCAAATTATTTCAGACCCTGGTCTTCGATCATGTCAATTTTCTCAGACCTCTCATTCCTTATTTCCCCCCCCCCCCCCCACCTTACCCATAATTTTAATTACAGTGGAATCCTGTTATAACGAGAGGGAGGGGACCAGAGCAAGATGTCCGTTACAGCAGTATTTTCGCTATAAGGGATCCAGTAATAAATTCAAGGGAAACTGTACAGTAGGCCAAATCTATGATTTTGCGGTTCTGTTTATTTCCTTTTGATATATCTCCCCTGATGATGATTTGGTTTCAACATGACCTTTAGGTCTTACTTGATCAAAAATCGAATCAGGTTTCTTTCTCTAGCGCTAGATCTAGCAATGTTGACTGACAGCTCGGCGTTGGCGATCAGAAAGAAGGTGTGGTGCATTCCGTCAGCTTGCGCACGTCACTCATTCGTTCCACCCATCACATTGCTGTGACCTCTCCATCCCCGCATCGGAGAAGTGAGAGTGAGAGGCATAGTAGGCCTTGATAATCTAAACTAGGCTTACACTGGCCTATCACGCGATGCGATTTGCTTGTCTGCGCATGCCACACCCTCCCTACTCAGTCGCTCCAGCCTTCATTGTTGACACACATTGGCTCTCCCATTCTTTGTTTCGCTAGATCACCAACAAGTTTCTCAACTGGCGAGGTTTTTTAATTATGTATAAATGGCCTATGCACTGTGCACAACAGCAGCAATATTCCGCTTTAACCGACTCGCATATATATATTTGTCTGATTGCACTATAGCAGTATTTTATTTACAAAAGCAAAGAAGAGAAAAAAACGGGGTTTTAGAATAGTGTCTTTATAACAGACTTCTCGTTTTTTCCGGACTCGTTATAAGTGGACTCCGCTGTAATTTAATAACTTGCAAATCAAAGCCAAAAAGTGTTGGGTTTTTTTCCTTTTTAAGTCATTTTGGTTTATGTTTTTCTGCGAGAGAACATGGCTGACCGCAAACCTAGATCTGTGTTTATATCGCTTGCAAAGCCAGCAAATTTTGTACCAATACGCGCATCTTTTATTCCCAAAAATGAATCCACCAAGTGCTTTTGTGGCTAAGACTCCGTACTGTAGAATTAGAGCCAAAGTGTGCCATACATGTAACATCATATTGGCAACCGAGAGCAGCAAATTTTGCCAACTTGCAGTACATAGGCTACTTGGTACGTCACACAGCAAAAAATTACACATTTTTTTCCATGACGTACCAGGTACGTCATAATATAAGGCAACAAAGGGGTTAAAACTTTCATTGTAAACTCATGCCCAAAACACCCTCTCCTAGATTTCAAATACACTCAATACAAATAAGGACCAAAAAGAATGTTCATTTTAAAGAAGCAACCCTTTTCAGGAAAAAATCTCATTATTTCTTTCTACTGGACTTCTCTGTACACAGCATCACATTGAAAGACAACCTACGCTAATAACTCTAAACATATCATATGACACCAATTCATGATGAAGTGATCTAGAAGAAAAAAAGGTGGTCAACCTTCCTTTACAGTTCAAGATTCCTGCTGACTTCGTAAACGCTCCATTTTGAGAGGCACAAGATTTACCATTTCCTTGCATATGTCAATTTCAGATTTTACCAATTCGACAGCACTCTCATTTGCTGCACAATAATCCACTACAAACTTGTAACACGCTAAGCTTTTGGCCATAAGTGCCAATCTCTGAGGAACGTTTGGTTCCAAGAACTTTGTGTATAATCGGCCCATGCAAAAAAAAGCAACGAGTGCCGGGCGTACATCACCTTCCGGAAACTCTGGCGGCAGTTCTGGCTTCCCTCCTTTCAAGGAGTCAATGTACTCTTGATATTTGTCAATACTCTGTTGAACTAACTTATTGATTTTACTGGTATTATAAGGAGTCGCTTGAGTCCTTGACAATTCAATGGCAGTGACTTTCAGATCCACCATAGTACTGTAAGTTTCTGCAATCTCATACATAAGTTGTCTATTCACCAACAGATAATACTGAGGATTGAGCTCACTGAGAAGCTCCGACAACATATCCACACGACGTTTGTGCATCTGGCACTGCCGTCTGAAGTCAAGTTCAAAGAAAGCCAACAACTTGTATGCTTTGCTGTGATCTTGGGTGATCTCAACAGCATCAGACGCATGTCCATCTAAGCTATAATATGTAATCGCACTCTTGATCTTTCCAACAATGAATAGAAAAACTTTTCGGGCATCATCAAAAATTCGAACTAACTTGTCAGTAACCTGTTCTTCATAAACAGTTAATTCCAAATCAAAGGTTTCAAAATCTTTTTCTGAACTTTTTACTTCTGTGTTAGATTCTGTTTGTTTGTCAGAAGTGGGGTCTGTTTGTTTGTCAGAATTGTGGTCATTCTTATTCTTAGGATAACCAAAAACATCAACTGATGGTTCTTCCATATCTTCCAGCTCACTAAGCATCTTGTCCCTTGAAACCTCTAACAAAGCCAGCCCATATTTGATCCAGCAACGATCAATATCAGCACTTCTCTGACTCTGCAAATCATTTTCATCCTCTGAGAGTTCTTGAACATTTTTTAAAGAATTTTCATATATCAGTGACCCACTTGCAAGACAGTGTCTAGACTCCATGAACTTTTCAGCAGTTAAAAAGTACTGGGAAAGGGTAGCAGCGTTAAGACCCCAATCCACTGGATTGTAGTCCCCTGCGGCGAGCTGTCTGTGCAACGTCATGAGACAATAATGAGCTGATAAGCTGCTCTTTTCTTGCTTGGCATACACCTGAGCCAGATAGTATAATGTATGAGTATGAAGACTCTCAAAAGACGCAGATCTCTGCTGTGCAACACTGTCTTCATTTCCATCAAATGCTCTTAGATGCTCAAGGAAGGACTGAGGCACCCCTCCAACATTCTGTTTGTAACTATGGTATCGTTTTTCAGCAGACACAAGGAACTCGAGAGCTTTGTCAAGACTATTTCTTCCAGTCCATAATATACCCAGATGATTCAAGACATTGATGTGAAGACTTACTGCCCCTTGAAATTCATCTTCCTCAATTCGCTTCAAACAGGACATGAACTTGTCCTCTCCTTCAGCTAGTTCCTCTGTATCCATGTGTAAGATTCCAATGTTGAGTTCCAAACAGAGCGACAACGCCAAAAAAGCCCTTTTGTTAGTTTCATCGCCTCTCTCAACTGAAAGTTTATCAAGCACCTTTCTATTGATTTCATCATACAATTCACGGGCTTTGTACTTTGAACGAAAAGGTTCTTCTTCTGGGTCTTTCTTTGACTCTTCTTCAGCCAGGAATCGCGCTTGTTTGTACAACTCGGCCCCCTCTGGGCCCAAACATTTCTCTAAGGTGGCCATCTTGGTAAATAGATTGATGCAGCAGTGAATAGTGAATGGCAGTGGTTAGCTTTATTCGCACAGCCCCTCATCCGTTCTATAAACTTTTTTTCTGTGAAGCAGTATAGACCCTGATGTTAGTATGTGATATAAATTAGTTAAGTGAGTCTAGCTGACTATCATAAAATGTGTCTTGCATCTCACAGAATACTAGGCTAAAATTTTCAGCTAAGTATTGACTATTGACTGCGGAACATCTCCAACGAACACTTCCGCATTGTTGTTTATATTCACCAAGGAACCGTGAATGTGATCACTGTTTAGTTTCAAAGAACCATTCTCAAAGTAGACGCTTACAACCTTTTATGATGGAGAAATCACTTTGGGATCTCGCGATTGTGCAAGCTCATGACAACAAAGGTTGTTCCTATTTTGACGGCCACTGATTGTAACAAATCATATATTTGTTCACTTTATTATCGGGAGGACTTCCGTAACGAGCGACCACTTTGAGACAGAGCAGTGACAATGAAAAATTAAATTTTCATGCAAATAGCTTAAAATGGGCTTAAATGAAAATACAGTAAATTCTAAGAACTATGGTTTTTAAATTTTTAAAATCCATTGATAAATAAAAAAGTTATTGGGATTTTTGTTGCAAAATGTTGGAGGACCTTCATATATGAGACTCAGTGGTGCAAAAAAAATTTTCTTACCAATTTGACTCTCTTTTCTGTCAGTCACAGATTGACATTTAGTGCTCATATTCCTAGAGTATCAGAGCAAGGAGATGTACGGTTTTGGAGATATGGGTCTATTGGTTTGGCAACCACTGTATTTCTTGTATGTAACAGTGATGACAAAAACAGATAAGCAGCAAGGCAAATTATAGACTTTAAATTCCATTTGTTTAATACAAACAAACACTTTGTACACTATGAACTCCATTCGTAATGGTAATATGAATGACAAGCTTTGTAACAATGACGCAGTGCACAGAACATGTCATCATTGTTATGTACAAGAAAGGATACACATTGGACATTATCATTGACAACACATCACAATAGTGAAAGGCTGTACAAATACAGTTATCAAAGCCTCAGTACCAGAAAAACACATGTGTAAAACAATTTTTTAACTAATATGAGGCAAAAGCACAAAATCAATGAAGCTGACTTGTACATAACAGTGATGACAAACATGACTTGTACTTGTACATAACAATGATGACACAATGTACAGGAAAAGACAAGTCTTGCCTCCAGAGATAAAAGCGCACTTTAAGAATTAAAAAAACCCAGGAGAGGTTTCTTTTGCTTTGAAACAGATACCAGGTCATATCAAAGACAGTGGACAATCACAATTATGTGGCTAATTATGACAAACAGTACTCGTACATAACAGTGATGACAAAACATACTGGGAAAAGGTAAAATCATGCCTACAAAGAACAAATTTGCACTAAGAGATACACCGATCAATAAAGGCGTATTTTGCTTCTAAATGAACCTTGCATGTATGAAATATATGTTGAAAACTTATTGATATTAGCAATTATGAAAAATATTACTTGTACACATAACAATGATGACACAATGACACAATGTATTGGAAAAAGGTAACCAACAAAGAACAAATGTGTATTTTTGAGTTAGACAGATAAACAAGGACATGTTTGTTTATTTGTTTGAGTAAAGAGAGCACACATTACTTAAAAAATGTTTGCTCTTAGGACAATGTAATTTCTTGTACGTTAGTCAGTCTTGTACGGCTGCATGACGACACCCCAAACGTCATCACTGAGCACAAAAGCTAAATCTATAACCACAGAAATGATCCATCTCTCGAAGTTTGTTCACACATCACACTCTTGTTCCAGGAATCCAGTGTAAACACCGCAATTTCACTAAAATATTCAACAGAGTAGCCTAAAAACACGCAAAACAGCCCAGTACGTCACATTCAACGCGAAATTCTTGTGCGTCACCGGACGCTGAAGGCAATGACTACTTTCGTTTTTCTGTTTCCCCCGTTGCTTCCGTTGTTCTGGGGACGCGGGTAAGGGGAAGTCACTCAAGAAAACAATTATATCCGAGCACTTTTGATGACCCGTTCAAAACAAAAGTGGGCGAAATTCGGACTTCCGGCACGTCGCAAATTGACGACAATAACGGCGAATGTTAAACAGCCGACCGAAATCGTAGATCTAGGAACCCGATGTTCCTTTCGCGCATCGCGGCTTTTGAAGTATTGAATAAACCACGATAGGCAAAGAGATTTAACCAGCTACGGTGATTCTACTGAAAAATAATGGTGTTTTCTGAAACACCTAGTCCGTGACGACACGACAGACGCACAAGTAACCCGAATTGTTCATCTATTTGCAAACAAATAAACCGATTTCTTGAGCAAGTTAACCTTTCTCAATGACAAATAACATAGGATCAAAGCACACGTAAAAAAAACACGCCCAAAAATACTAAATTTTGGACATTCTTGGAAGATTGCATTGGTGTGCTCAAAATGACACTCCAGGAATCACTAAAAAACGAACATTTTTGGCACAAAATTTACAAACTCAAGATTGTAAAGCTGACAAGGGGTCTGAAACTGCTAATGCAGGTTCTACATCCTATATTTGACGTGTGTATACGTTTTGGAGGAATAAATACTAATGCATCACATTTTATGCATACTAATGTGAGATGTGTGTGTTTTTCACCACGTTTTGGCAATGGCTCATATAGGAAAAAATCGCCAAAATGTGGGGCATGTTTTGATGTATTTTGAGGAAAAACTGTTCATAAGTCAGTAATGAATTCGAGCATATGAATGAAACTTGGCATCTTCATGTGATTTTTAGTGCAGAATCTAGTTCTGCTATCGCTTTTTCGATGTCTTTATTACTTTGGATCTTAAAGAGTGATATTTGAGTGAAATTTGTTGAATTGCGTGACATTGTTTTTACCGCGACACGATCACCCCTTCTAAAACTCAGTAAAGTGCTATCGGGAAAACCCGCGATGTAGTCATCGGTGACCTATTTAGTTATAGGCAGCCAATCACATGCTGCCTAGCGATCACGGGCCTCTTGCATGCTGGCACCTCGCGTTTGGAATGCATGATCTAGTTTCCAGCTCTAGTGTTTTATCAACGGATAGGTGGTAATTTTAAGTTGGTACGTCAAATCTACTAAACGCAGAGATCTGAAATTTTACAGCAATAAAGAAGACATGTGGTGCACTTGTGTGGTCGGCGATCAACCCGCAGCTCCGCTTAATTTTAGAATCGCAGAGGAAATTCGCACAAACACGACAATATCTCCGTTTCTAGTAATCGTTCGGGATTGTACGCTGGCATGTCGTTAGTTTAACCTTTCCTCTGATTGGTTGCCGAGTTTCATTTATTTTCGTCCAGGAGTTTTCCCGTAACTATACTTAGAAGAGAGTCACTTCTGATTCCGAGCGATCAAAAAATTACCCCTCGCGCGGAGGCCGATTTCCGGCCCAAGGCGCAGCGGGTGATTGGCATTGCTAAATTGAGGGCTTGGGATAGGGGTAGGGTTAGGGTTAGGGTTAGGTCTAGGCCTCTTCTATTGTGTTTGATGGGGTGTTATTATCTTTTGGTGTAAACTGATTCCATCCATGCTTTTTTCAGGCTCTGGACAGAATTATTTCTCCCTGTTCAGTTTTAGACCTGGGGTGCATCTATCTCTAATAAGTATTGTCATATACCAAACTGATGGGAATAAATAGAGGAATCTGTTTATATCAATAACAATGACCTATAATCTGTTTGTGTTGCATTTTCCTTCAGACAAAAACGAATGAGAAAAAAAAATTGTGCAACAGCTCTTCGAAAATTTCGACTTACCGCCTTTTCTCAGCTCTACAAGTCCTTATAATCAATAGGAATCAACACAACATTGTAGCGATATCACCCTAGCACACATTCATGCAAGAATTTCACAAATTTAGTTGAATATCTTTCTTTGAAGGGCCTTTTTATTACCTTTTATTATACCAGGCTCCGTGTTGTTTACCCTTAGATCTAGCCTACATCGCGACAAAAAAAAGAAAGATTTTTGCAAAAATTTCGTGGAGTTTCGATTGATATTGGCGCTCAGAGATTGAGGTCAGGTTTGTTTACAAGTTTTACTTCCTTTCGACAACTTAAAAAGTCGGAACTATGTTAAAAAGTGCACATTTGTTTCGGATTTCGTTGAGCCGCTCACAACGGTCGAATGGAGGCAGCGGAAAAACTCGGAGCCGCTGTCAGCGGCCGAATGGACGGAATCAGTTAATTTACTACAGTACATTGTACTACTTAAGTGTCTTAACTCTTGTCCTGCGTCTGTGCTGAGATGCGAATCTTATCAGCAACCGCTTACGTCGGACGTTCCGGGGAGGCCGCTGGGGTCACTCAGTGTGTACTGTTGGTGCACAGCGCGCGCGCGCCTGGAAAGGTGTGTTTTGGCCATGAATACCGTGGGAGTGTGTGAATCGATGATGAAAATAACGCTCTATCTTTCTTATAGCTTTATTTATAAAGTGTTACAAACACATGGAAAACCCCCTCGCATAAGCTGATAAGACCTTACGAGTAGTTACGCCCATTCGAATAACCTTTCTACTTCTAGACGCTCTTGTTGTTATAAATTACCTGGGGTTCGAAAGGGGATAATATTTGTCAATTTCCGCCCTCAAATTGTTCGATCCTTGATCCCACCGGCTGGGTCTTTGACCCTCCCCTCCCCCAACCTCCATCTCCCCCTAAATTCCCCTAAGACGGAATTTTTTCTGGTCCCCTTGTGATTCCGTCTTACACAGGTTTGACTGTAGATGTATTCTGGCTCTAAAATCGGTTTGTGCTTTTTCATAGATAGACTTCAGGGTAATTTTGAGAAACTGTAGAGAAAATATGCGAATATTCACAATTACAGTCGGACCTGCTCTGACGGCCACCTCTATAAGACGGCCACCTGTACAAACGGCCACTTTCCATTTCCCCCCTTGCGTTTTTTGTACGTAATTTAACTGTGTAAAACGGGCTCCTGTACAAAGCTGCCGCGGCCACCATATTTTAACACACAACCCCTATCACACAAAGCAATAACACCTGTCTTAGACGGCCACCTTAATGACGCCGTTACGTTTTGTCATAAATCGTGCATTGGTCCCTGGCATTGTGGGCGAGCCATCATAATAATCCTATCACCTGTCGTTATTTCTGCCCATGTTCCGAGGTAGTCCCTCCAACCGATCATGTTGCGTAGGCCCCTCCCACTGTTGACAAATAGATAACAAATTTTCAGCTGCTGGTGAGGTAAGCGTGTGATCCCTCATAACCCATAAGCCCCGCCCAGAACTCATACACAAATCGTAAGTGAGGTGAGTGGTCACTGTTTACCCAGTCTGTAACAAAGTAACCATGGAGGTCAGCATGAACTTGTTACAAAAGCGTCGCTCGTTCTGTGAGTGGTGGTGACCCGTGTGTTTGTTTTACCATAGCACTCAGCCTTCGCCTTCCTCGTCTGATAGTCTGATACATTTCGTTTTATTGTCACCCTTGCTCAAAAGCAGCAACAAAAGAACCCCCCCCGCAAAAACACCAATATATAGCGAAAACAACAACAACAATGTGACTACTTTGGGTTGGGACCTCAGAAAGGAATGGTTTGTTTTCTTCATCTTGATCGGTCCTGCCTAAGATGGCCACCTGTCTTATATGGCCACTTTTCTCCTTGACAATGGGTGGCCGTCTTACACAGGTTCGACTGTTTATTGGACACACACAGTTGTATTTGAAGGAATTACTTTGTAGCGAATTGTGTACCAGATGGATAAAGTTGCAAAATTACACCTTCCTGTTACATACGCAGATACCATCTTTTTTGAGTATCTGCTCCAATGTTATGCCGTTCATGTTAAAAAAGTTCGACAGTTTTTGGCTTGCAGTTTCTTTATATTGATTTTTTTTCATTCACACTTGTCCAAAAAGTTTTACAATTTAGCATTGCCGACTTCAGCGCGTCTAACGAAATAACCTGACAAGTTACAATGTCCGTTCTTTTTTGAGTCTCGAGAGCAGAAATGTGTGCTTTACGTGCATTAAATGACAATTACCATAAATACAAGGATACACTTTAAACTGTACGTTGAAAAGTACCAAAAATTAAGTCAGCCCAGACAGAGTGGCAACAGGGAGCTGACCCCCGTGACCCGACGTGATAAGGCGCTCTGCGAAAAAAAATTCGCTGCAACTAAATTTCCACTGACAGTGCGCCGTGTATAATGTAACCTCCTTACAGTTACACTCACATATCTCACTTAGAAGCCAAGTCGGAATAAATAGAACATTCCGAATAGAGGTGGCCTTTAAATATATTTTCTATTGTTTTTACAGAGGAGCAGTCATCGAGTGAAGAGTCTGCAATTTTCTTAATAGGCAGCAGGAACTCAGTGAGTCAATTTTTTTTTTTCTTGTTTATAAATATTATGCAATGTTGGTGTAGCCTTGATGATTATTTGTTGTAATTTAAAGTGTTACAAAAAAGTTTCCCATTTTATTGTTATAGTTGTGTTGAGTGTGTGTTTGGCTGATGGTTTTAGGGGGCAATGGAGTCAGATGTTGCAGTTGTTTTTACCTCTTTTGCGCTTATCTGTGACTCTTAAAAGTGTGCTTCTCAACAGTGTCACTGCCTCTTCGGGGTAACATGTGAGGCAGTCCAGTCTCCCATGTTTTTCTCGTGGAATAATTGCACTCTCCTGCTTATGGTGGCTGGGCAGCTCTGGAGCTAGATTCTGGTCCTCTTCTATGTATCAGCAAAAAAGTTGGCATATTTGTAACACACTACTAGAAACAGCAACTAGGGGATCTCCAAATATCCCAGGGAGAGGCTCCACTGTCACCTCCAAAATGAAAACCAGCAGGGCAATAAGCCCAAACTTCATTCCTCCAACCTTTCTGAAACATCTAGTTATGAAAGCCTTTGAGAAGTTCCTCTTCATGTTCAACATGATCTTTCACTCAGCAGGTGTGCCACAAATATGAAAGAACACTACATAATTCCCTTTCTTAAATCGGGTAAACGTGCTTCCGACCCTGCATCATACAGACCGCTAAGCCTCACTCCCTGCATCACCGTAGCAATGAAGAAGATAGTGTCCAAGTGACTGTATGACTTGGCAAAAGCTAGAGGATCATTTTCAAAACTACAGGCAGGTTTCCACAAGGGTAGAGGCGTAGAGGTCCAAGTTCTGAAAGTCAAGCAGTATTTAGAACATCTTGCTCAGAGTGCAGTGACACAGCCATGGACTTGAGCAGACTGTGGAGACAAGTGCTGGGCGGTACTGATGCAGTGCCGGTCCTTTCCCGTCACGGGGTTCCAAGAACCACTAGTACCTGTACCGGTACTGGGAGTGACATCAAGAGGTGAGGTCAGAGACTGCGATTTGCGTCTAGCGCCATGATCAGGGCTGCCTGCATCCCCCCCATATACACAAGTCAGAATTAGGACAGGCGAGCTCTGATGCAAAATCGCTTTGACGTTTGCCGCCGCTCGGGATTAAATTTTGCATGCAGAATTTTAAAAATAATTATCACCACAAAAAATGTATCTTATTTTTTGAATCAGCGTATCAAAATAAGCAAACTGGCTCACACGTAGAGCATGATTTAATGTAATATTTCAACTTAAGCAAACTTCGTTTTTGATTGTCAATTTTGAATCTGAAGTTATGTATCAAGGTCACCCGCTGCGTTGTGCATCTGAAGTCACAGCTGCTAGGTCTTGGCCTAGGCCTATACACTTCACACTTCCCGGGGCCAGTAAAAAAATAAGTTGGTGTCGGCTCCTTCCCAGAGCCAGTACTGGAGGCCTGGTGCCGGTACTGGAGGCCTGGTGCCGGTACTGAAACCTAGAACCTTGAGTTCTGGTTCTGGGTACCGGTACCTGCCCGTCCCTAGTGGAGACTCAACCTCAATGACCCAAATAGTGAGGCTATGTTCTTTTTGAGATCACAACTAGAAGCAGAATAGACGCCACATATCTTCATCAACAACACAGCCATGAGATACGAACCATCCCACACGCCAGACTCCTGGAAGTCATCTTTGACACCCTCATTGAAAATGCACGTAGCGAAATAAGCACATAACGAACAGATTTTCAATTCACATTCAGCAACAGGTCGAGATTGTGACTGCCATGGGTGATAAGAAAAATGAGGATGCCAAGTACAGTTGCATACTCCGATTGAGACTGGAGAAAAGTAGGTCTCAGTAAGTTCTATCTCACACACATAAACAGTGTACTCTCTTTTCTAGTCGCAGCTTGCAACCCTGGCTCTCAGACACCTAAGTCAATCATCTGAAGGCTGCCCAAAATAAGTGCCTAAGATTGATCACCGGCCAAGCCTCATCATCTCCTTGGGAAAAAGCGCTACGCCTTCCCCATGATCACCCTTGATCCTTTGAGGAGATAGACCATGCAGTACAGTGACTAAAACACAAGGGTTGGAGAAAAATATTTGAAAGACCCATGAACAGTAGCTTTCAGGTGCTTGCACAAGAGAGGAGGCCTCCCTTTAACTGGCTTCAATAATAGACTCGGGGAAAAAGGGGTGGAATCAACATAATATTCACACATTTGGTCGGAGGTAAAGGCACTTTCTTAGGGAATGTGGCAATGGACTGTGCAAGAGAACTTAGCAGACACTTCAGCATATACACTGAAGACTCTGTGAACATGAAAAAAATAGATAGCTGTACAGGAATTGTCATCTCGGCGGGAGACCCATAACTCTGACAGTTGTTAATACTGGTATTATAGTCAGGAAAGAAGCCGTGTCTTTGAACTCAGTGCGATGCTGAAGTAAGCTAAGTTTGAATACATATATTTGTCATGTAATGAATATGGCGTTCCTAGTGTATCAAGTGAAGAGTGATTTAGAAGGTAATCAAGTTTCTAGTGAAAGTGTATTATCAGATGATCTTCCCAGCTTGGCAGTGAGAATTAAGAATCTACTAATGATTGCATCAAAGTCGGAAAAGCTGGGAATAACACGGGTAACTCGAATTTGTAGGGGATTGAAAATAGTGTTCGAGATTTCCACAATTCGCCATGTCCACGAAAGCTCCAAATACAAAGAAATAGAGAGAAAATAAAGGGAGGTAAAAAATAATTAAAACTATTAATGTGGATAGCTCCCTTGCTGAACATGTTGATGGTGTGAAAGCAAAATAATAAATAAAAATGGAAAGCAAAAAATCCCTCGAGTGCTCAGCCGACTTCTACGCCATTCCTTTCTTTTCATTTCATTGACTAACAGAAAGTTACTCCTCTTGCCATTCGCACCGTGCGCGTCCCACAGCCTGATTGCACGCATGGCGAGCCAGTCATGGGGTGCGGTCAGCATCAGTCCCCAATCCCCCTTAGCCCTTTTCTCCAGCCTCTCGTGGTGAGACAAGGAGCTCGTTTTGGCTGTAACAATAACAAAGAAACACCTACCCGTGGCCAGAAAAGCTTTATAGCTGAGTCTTTAGTTGAGAATGCGAAATGGATTTGTTCGTGATTCGAGTGTTGTGTGTTCTGAGTGTTCGGGAACTCCATGAAGTCAATACAAAGAAAACATCAGGACTGAAACGGGACCGAGCATTACGTTGGAGATACCGAAGAATTCGTGATTTTCGTGTTCAAGATTCATGGACTCTACTGTATATATATTGTGTGTATATGTGTATGTGTGTCTGTGTGTGTATGTGTATGTATACCATATATATATATATATTGTGTGTGTGTGTGTGTGTGTGTGTGTGTGTGTGTGTGTGTGTGTGTGTGTGTGTGTGTGTGTGTGTACCTACCAATATATACCTATTTCTAAGTATGCTTAATTTACATCTATAGATCTAGTACTTGAGCCATTCTCAAAAGCTGAGCACAGTAGGAGTGGCTCTTCCCCACATGTAATTAACTGCACAAATGAAGAATTTGTAGGAAATAATACTTTTTCAATCAAGAAATTATCAAATAAATTATACCATTTTAAAGGAAATCAGCCAAAGTCCACCACTTTACAAAATAATATCAGTGATATTGGATAGTGATACATGTTTTCTCGTCTTTATACATTATTTGCTATAGATGCATGACCAGTGAAACTCTGAAAAGGTTTACATTTATGTTTTGACTAGATTTCTTAATGAACTTGGCTCAAGATAAGAAGGATTTGTTTCAGCAATTTTGCAGAGCTTCTGAAAGGTCTTGTTAGATAGTGTCTTCAGTTTGAGTCTGAACTTGATTTTTCTCCCCAGGGAAAAACTTCAATCATCTTAAGATTTTTAGATCGGTAAGTTCCATGTATCTGTGTTGTGAAATTATGTATGTTAATTTGTAAAATGAAGTCACATCTTTACTATGGAATCACATTAATAGGAAGTCAGATTACTTCTGTATTGTGATGTTGCATAAAGTTCTGTATTGCGAAATCACATCTTTACTCGTCTGTCAACAACTAGTTTAGCACGCTCGTTGTAAACGTGCACATGGTGAAATACACAAACAATGAACAGATTTTCATGTCCTGAATATTTCTTATGCTTATGTATTCTTTTTATTCAAAACATGTAGGTAGTGACATTTTTATCTAACAAAAAGATTTCTGCATCTCATCAATTTCGCTCTGTGCATGTTAGAATGTATGTGTAAAGTCCTAAGCAGACCTCAAACCAACATCCTGCTGAAGTAGCAGATAAAGAACCAACAAGATTACGTTTTGCATATAAGTTGACATTTTATTATCATGTATCTCAGACATTTTTTCTTTTGATTCCTTGTACTTTCACTTCACTTCATTTCCTTTCTCTTACAGTATTTTCATAGAGTCATGGCATAAGAAATCTTTTTGTTTAAAATGTTAAGATAATCAGATATGAACTCTTGTTTTGTTTCATTCTTGTATACTTTTATGAAGAAAATCTTTTTTGCCCTATGTGCGTAGATTTACATAATTACAGCACAAACCTGCTGACTTCTATCCCTTGAAAGCAAAATTTTCTGCCAAAAATAGTGTGACCAAAACACAAGGTTAGAGAAAAATATTTGAAAAACTTGTGAACAACAGATCTCAGCTGTTTGCTCAAGTTTGATATTAGCGATATGATTCTCATTTCTTTCCCTTTGCTGGTTTGTGATTTCACACAAATTATATGTTGAGCCATGTCGATATTTAAGCGATGTTATGTTAATGATTTTGTTTTGTATTTTTAGAGATGAACCTCCAAAACCAACTGTTGCTTTGGAGTACACATTTGGCCGAAGACCCAAAGGCCACAACATCGTAAGTTAACGTTTGTACCTTGACAATCAGCCTTGTAGTGTGAGATGCTTTGATTTCAACCTAATGCTTTTATGTAAAAAACGACACAAATCTTAGTCCATTCAAGTTGTCAGACCATGTCTTCTTAAATGTTGTAAGCTATTCAGTCATTGTCAGGCTTGTGGGAATAACATTATTTTATGTGTCTAGCTGATGACTTTTTGTGTTTGTACATGTGTGTGTGTGTTTGTGTGTGTGAGGCTGAAAGAATGTGTATGTGTAATGTGTTTTGACGAGTGCATTGCATGTACATATTTATCGTGCCGCAGCAATTTTTCTTAGCGGAGATTAATAAATTGTTATCTTATTTTATTGCATCTTATCTTGAAAATTGTTCTCCTTCAGTGTATAATGGAAAATTCTTTTGGGGATAGGGGGTGTATGCAGAAGAAAATATAATACATGTGATAGCATTTTTTCCAAAAAAATTACTTCTGCTGCTGTCTTTTGTTTTGTATTGAAAATCTTGATATTGCTGGCCTTCTTGTGCAGTTCTGTTGCTTTGGACAGTGGATTCATCTTACTTTTTTTAACATGTGAAGTATGTCGGAAGTGGTATATATATTATATATGAAAGTTACTACTCTTTGAATTGTGTTTTCTCCCCAGGCAAAGGATGTCGGTCACATATGGGAGCTAGGCGGAGGAACCTGGCTGTCCAAGTTGATGGATGTTCCCATAAATCCGAACACTCTTTTGTGAGTTCTGACTTTGTTTCTGTTTTGCTTTGACATTCTTTCTTTTTTTTTGCTAAATTCATTTATCAGTTGTGAGTCTTAAATGTATCTTACAGTTTAACTTGGTTTTTTATTTTAAAAATTAGCTTTTCTTTCAGTGTTTGCCTTGACCGGTACTTGATGTTTCTCCCCTTAAAGTTTAAAAAATTGATGTGCTTGTTCATAGGCTTGTATTTTTCTTAATGACTCGCACTGTCACCAGAAAAAAAAAAAAAAAAAAAAACAGTGGAGAGAATGGCTTAAGTAAGGAAAAACTGTAGGCCTATTCATAAACACTGTTTTCACTTTTATTGATCCAGCCGAGATTATAAACAAAGACATTTTATATAAATTGTCAGTGGTCAGCAGCACCTACCCACAATGAGTGGAAGAAACTGGTTGGCAGAGTCTTCATAATGCACTGCAGGTTGTGGGGAAAAACCCAGGACCATTTATCTCCTAGTTTGACGGTATAGACTGCCCAACTTTTAAAAAAAATTAACTTGTTGTAACAATATTGTAGGGTTTTTTTTGGTTTTTTTTTGGGGGGGGGGGGGGTTTGGTATGTGTTTTACGGCGCTCACAACCGCATAAGGTCATACCAGCACGCAGGACACACCAAACATTTTCAGTTGGTAGGAAATTTTGAATTTTGCTTGGATGACGACGGAAGCCCACTCTTATCGATTTTAGACCACCAAGGGATCTTTAATGTGGTAAACTTGCACACGAGACCTCCAAGACTTTTCACCCTTGTCTGAGAAGGCTAGGTTTAGATCTTTCCTACCAGAAGATCAGGGGTGTGGCTGAAAGACAGCAGTAAGGAGCCAAGGAGTAGCAGTAGAAAGTCTGCAGAAAGAGTCAGGAGCCCAGGGGAGGGGGCAAAGGAGGTGGGGGTAGAAAGTGGAGACAGAAGCAGATGACAGAACATTGCTGGAGAGTAGGAAAGGAGGGGAAAGGAGACAATTTTGAATAAGAAAATTTTCCGTTGCTACCCGGATTCAAACCCGGTACCTTTGAATGAGAGGCCAACACCTTAACCTCTAGGCCACAAGAGCCCCCTCACAGTATTATTTGTTATTGACTACAGTAGTCTCCGCCTAAACGCATGGTGTCGTCAAGCTTTACCTGTTGGCATGTTTCGCGGATCGGAGCATGCATTTAGACGGAGTGACCGTGCGCTTGTACGTCTAAATTATATCGTAAAAAAACGTAATATGACAATAGCGTGCGTTTGGGCTGAGCATGCTTTTGTATGGTGTGAATTTAAGCGAAGATTCATGTATCACTATTGGCATAAATAATGACCACACCATTTTATCGGGAAAAAACCCCCAGGCATGTTAATTTTTTTACGTTATTACAAGTTTCTCACTTTGAATGTGGATCAAAGAGCAATGTTTTAATACTAATACTATGGACCTGAAATTGTCAGTGTGTCGAAATACTCTCCTCAACTTTGTATGCAGGATTCCAGCCTCCAAAGTCACTTCTGGAAGACACCAGGGGTTAGCGAGCTTGTGAGCTTCACAAATCTGTATTGGCAGCTCTTGCAAGGTCCTCAGTGTGTTCAAACTTGTGTCCAGCAAGTTTGTATTTCAGAACAGGAAAAAAACAGAAGTCACAGGGAGCAAACTTAGGACTGTAGGCTAAATAAGGCAACACTTGGATTCCTCTCTCTTCTATACACTGAGTTGTGGCCCTTGCTTTATGAGGCACTTCATTTGTGCAAGAGGTTCAGATCTGTGGACTCTGCTCACCTACATCATTTTTTAACTGGGGCAGTAACTTTTGCAAATTCAGTAGGACTCGGATTTAACAAACTTGAATTCAAGGAAAACTCAGATTCAATGAAAGGAATTGGAATACCCGATTTTTTAATTTAAGAAAATCAATAAAAATAACTCGGATTCAACCAACACATAAATGGGCAAGCTCAGATTTAACTAAGTCGCTTGCAGGGTGTACAGCCCCCGTTGACATAGCTTGGCTCTTTTTTCTCCCTCAAAGAACTATATCTGTTCCTTGAAACCATCTTTGGTACTGCATTGTGAACCATTTGATCTATTCGCTTACCTATCGATTCTCATGCAACCAATCAGTGGCCTTCTTTCATACCAACACATGTGTTGTTATCTTGCACGCATGTCTTAACGTGTGTCGGGGTTGGACGGGCGGCCAGCACACGTGTGACATGTGACTGTGTGCGCGTGTGTCTGTGGGGAGGGGCACAAGTGGTCCAGGCGTGGAACATCAGTAGGGATACAAACATGTTACAGTTATTTTTTCCCTGGCTACTGATCAATACATCACTTGCTTAATGATGGAATGGTCTTCACTAAAACCTCATGTTTAATACAACGAACACTCAGAATAACTATTTGATGCATGTGGTACTTTATACAAATTACGAGGCTGAGGCCATCTCCATTGAAGCAGCAGTCCTCCTCCTGACCAACAATTTTATTATATTATATCCAAACAAAATCAAGGACACTGTTATCTTCACATACGGAAAATTGGTACTCCAAGCTTTGGAAAACATGAATTTTGAAAGCACAGCCTGCCTTTCCGTGGCTCAAACTATCAACACCTTCATACAGACCTATGCTGTTGACCTGACTTTACAGTGGATACCTGGCCACAGCAACATCCCAAGAAACGGCAGAGCAGACACCCTCACCGTTGCAAAGAAGGGAGCATCACAAACACAACCTCAAAACCCAGTATCACAACAGACAGTCAAAAAGATCATCCAATACAACACCAGGGAACAGTGGCTAAATGGATGGGCAATGGGCAGAACTGGAAGAACTGTATTTGCGCGAATGACTGCTCCCAACTCAAAAGATGCACTAATTTCCCTGAGTAGAAGAGAACAAGTCATGATCTTTCACCTGCAAACACAACACATCCAACTGAATTCCTACCTAAATAGGATCCGCAAGGATACCCCACCAGACTGCCCTTTGTGTGACTGCCAGGATGAAACAGTATCAAACCACCTCTGTACCTGCCCTGGACTTTGCGACCTGCCTAGTACCTACCTACCTGCCTCCCCAGACCTCGGAAATACTCTATACAGCGAAAAAAAACAGCTGATAAAAACCTGTAAATTCTTTGCAATATCGACAGGCCGAAGGGCTAGAACTCAAACGGCCGCTGGATCGGAAAAGTAAAGTAAAGTAAAGTAAGACCAGGCCCGACGACTTCGTTGAATCCGAGTTCCACTGTATTACAATGATAAGCTAGGTTCTACACAGCAACCTGACATGTTCGGCAAACAATTCATAATAGATGATCGATGACAGAGGTGCGCATTTGAATGAATCGATCCTTTTGCACAATGTGTGTTTCGTAGTGTAGCGTTCAGTGTGTTTTCCTGGAACTTTCCAACATTTCTTTGGTATGGCTCATAGAAATGAAAATTTATACGTCTCATTTGAAACCAAGCTACTTTTGATTGGGAAAGTCGAATACTTTAGTCATTACTTGCTCAGTGCCTTTAATTATCTACACAAAAACGTCATATTTGTTATAACAAACACTCGGATTCAACTAAATTGAAGGCCAGGCCCAATGACTGTTGAATCCGAGTTCCATTGTAGTAAGATTAGTAAGAAGTCATTATACAAACTATTAGTAGTACAGTGGAATCCTATTATAACGAGAGGGAGGGAACTGGAGCAAAATGTCCGTTATAGCAGGATTCTCGTTATAAGGGATCCAGTAATAAATTCATGGGAAACTGTAAAGTACGCCTAATCTATGAGTATGGTGTTCTGTTTATTTCCTTTTGCTATCTCCCCTGATGATAATTTTGTTTCAACATGACCTCTAGGTCTTACTTGATCAAAAATCAAATCAGGTTTCTTTTTCTAGCGCTAGATCTAGCGATGTTGACAGCTCAGCAATGGCGATCAGAAAGAAAGGGCTCTGGGCTAACTCGCCCGCTGTGTTGCCCCCCACCCCATCACACCCTGTGGTGCATTCCGTCAGCTTGCGCACGCCACTCATTCGCTCCATCCATTACATTGCTGTGACCTCTCCACCCCCGCATCGGAGGAGTGAGAGGCATGGTAGACCTTGATAATCTAAACTAGGCTTACGCTGGCCTATCACGCGATGCGTTCTGCTTGTCTGCGCATGCCACACCCTCCCTACTGAGTCACTCCGGCCTTCATTGTTGACACAAATGGGCTCTCCCTTTTTTTGTTTCGCTAGATCACCAACAAGTTTCTCAACAGGCGAGGTTTTACATTATGTATAATTGGCCTATGCACTGTACACAGCAGCAATTTTCGCTATAACCGACTCACGTGTTTGTTTGATTGCGCTATAGCAGTATTTTATTTTCAAAGGTAAAGAAGAGAAAAAAACGGGATTTAAGAAGTGTCTTTATAACAGACTTCTCGTTTTTTCCGGACTCGTTATAAGTGGACTCGATTTTAGTATTATTTGGCATGATATCAACCACACAGGGACCACTGCAATTGTAATAGACAATAAAAGCAAAATTCCATACAGTAGTTTTGATGGAATTTAAAAAAACGTAATTCATGTTTTATTTTCAGTGACAATGTCTGTAAGTTGCTTGGGCCCATGGGGTCTAAACATTTTGAGCAATTCTGTGGTATATCTCATCCTATCATTTTTGTTTTTCCTCTGTAAGTAAATGGGGTATCCAGTGGGCATACATTTTTTTCTTGGAGTTCTCAATGAGGAATATTTTGCACTAACCTAAACAAAGGTCCAGACATGACACTAAGTTCTCGTAAAGAGGTATCGGGATCTTGCACACTGGTGACGTATAACATCGTAAGTTTTCTCATTCATGGAGGAATTTGGGCAGTCAGAATGCAATTCATCAAAAATAGGATCTCCTACTTCATGAAGTTCTCTTACCCAGCAACAACGTGTGTTGTATTAACTAACAGATGCTGCATAAACACTGCAAATTTTCACAAATCAGTTCTGCAGATTCACCAAGTTTACAGTGCATGAAAATGTAGAAAAAAGGGGTGTTTTCTTTAGTGAACTCCATCTTGTTTACCCCAGAGTGTAAACCATCCTTTGTTTGTAACATCATGAATTAATAATAAACTCTGGTGTTACATGAAACTCCTATGGTTATTTTGAGAGTATATTAACAGGTTATAGATTTGTTATGTATTTTGTTTTTATGACTAAAGTCAGTATCTGCTTTATGGAAACTTCCATTACTCATGATCCACCCTAGTATTTGCACAGTATCCCAGCGAATGGTAGAATAGTTCTGGTATCTCACCACTCTTTAGGCACACAACCGTGGTCTTGGTTCTGGATTTGTCTGCCCCCAATGAAATGTGGTTCACCATGGAGACTTTGATGACTGCAGCAAAAGCCAGACTGGAGGAGGCAATAAATGAGGCAAAATCTACTGACCCTTACATAAAAGACAAGCTAAGGAAAAAGGCAATGGAAAGGGTTGGAGAAGAAAACCCGGTAAGTTTAGTTTTTTTTTTATTCATGCAACTTTATTGATTTGTTATTGCTGTACAAAAATGCTCTCAGATTGTGCTCATAGTTCATAGACTGGTCACTTCACCGGTTCACTTTGTCTTCCTCCAGACATCAAATCAAGCCTAATACTTTTGCAAAGCAGTCTTTTGTTGTCAGATAGGTCTCTGTCTTTAGGAATGCTTACTTTCTTCTGTCACAGATGTTCTTTTATTCCAGGACAATTCAGTGATCTCTTTATGTCGTACTAAGCAGCTTAATCTTCTAGTTTAATATTTTCATAACGTTCATGCCATAACAGAATTGAATAATAAATGAACATATGTCATTGCTTTTATCGTTATCTTGTTTTAAAAGCCTTATGAAGCTGTATTCATGACATCAGTTCAAGAATAGACATTTAGTTGTAAATGAGCGGAAATTTTGGCTTCTTCAGGAGCATTATATTAGTCATCGTATTATCTTCTTCGTCATTATGACAAGCATCATATCTTTGTCATTACAACTAAGATTATCATCTTTACCATCTATATATTCAAAACTGCAAACATGATCTTTCAATTTGCCATGAATGTATTAGTCTAATTGTATTATAATTTTTGTATCTAATTTTCAATGTTCAACATATATATGGTTTTCAAAGGGTAAAAAGAATCAGGTGGTGAGGCCTCAAAAAAGTTAACTCAAAGACCGTGTATACCAAAATGTTTTAACTGCTCTATCTCGTGTCCGCTCGAGACTTGAACGCGCCCTTGTGCTGATGCATGACGGTCCGTGATATGAGTGTAAACTAACGTTCTAGCACTCTTGAGTTGAACGCGTGCAATTTTTTCTACAGGCAGTGAGAGAGAGCGGGAGGGGGGGGGGGGGGGGAGGGTTGTTATAATAAGAATTGTTTCCTGTCATTTTCTCTCTGCATCGGTTTTCAGGCTGACCCAATGCTATACAGTCATTATTGTACACATATGACCAGTCCCATCTTCCGAATCCCACCTTTTGTTTCCCATCTCTCACCTCTTGTGAGTGGGTGGTTGGCGGGTGCTCTGGTGTGGTTTACTCCTTCTTTCCTATCAAACATCTATCTTCCTTATCTCTCCTCCTTTTTTGTTTGTTACTCTCTTGTAACACCTCTAACTTTCGGCACTTATATGACCTTATTGTGTTGCAAATGCTGTAAAACTCTTTACTAAAACATAATCACCTCTTGTTTCCCATGTACCGTATCCAATTTTCCATATCCCATATCGCAACTTTAATTCTGTAAGTGAGCTTTGTTTTCTTTCATCTCAATCTCATGGGGTGGAACGCTTGAAGCTGGCCAAAATATTAAATAATAATATACATCACTGTTGCCGATGTCAAAATCAGATGTGTTGTTCAAGCACATGTTTTCAACAGCTTGATTTAATACTGTTTTATTCGGAATCAAGACTAGGTCTCCTTGAGATTTCTTTGATGTACATGTATCCTCTTTGGAAGCAAGTTTATTTTTACTTTCCCTAACATACAATTCGCCCAGCACGACTACAGGGATCCATAATATTATGATGTCAATTTGATCATGTCATTGCAGTCAGAATCAAACTTTCATGTAAGAAATGTAACAATCTGACAAGACTAATATCGAAAACGCTCCCTCTCAAGAGAGGTAATGTGACTCTCTTTACACAGCACCAGTCGTTGTATTTTAAGTATCCAGATGATGGGGAAACAACTAGTTCTTGTTTGATATCACTAAGAAGAGACAAGGACAGTTTGAATCTGCCAGACATTGTTATAAAAGATCATAATATCAAGTCTTAAAAAATTGTAAAGCAAGACTGCATTGTGTTGCCACAATACATTCACTTCTTAAGTTGGACAAAGAAATTTACTCTCATAGCACGTAATGTCATTATTTGTTTGGTAATTCTGTAATTAATATGATGTCGACCAGGGACAACAAGCTAGACTAGATCTAACTACGATACTATAACCATCGTTGTGATATGAAATGACTGACAGAAAGTAGAAAGCTACACTAGTTCAATCGGTGAACTTCTTGCCGCTTAAAATCATTAAATAATTTTCCTCATTTTTGTTGGTTGATTTTCAGCTTTCTTTTTTTCCTTCTCATCCACACACCCAACCCCAACCCTTTTTCCTTTTTTTTTTCTTTTAGTTCTTTTTGTTTTTATTTGTGCGATAATTTTTGTTATCTTTAATTAAACAATCTCAGCAATTCTCGGTCCATAGATTTAGCCTCTACCATTCTGTACCCCCTCTTCTCCTCCCCAAACAAAGTTGTACTCACACACACGCACGCACACACACACACACGCACACACAAACACGCGCATACGCACAACCAAGCAGTCAGCGATGAAACCAACCCCGCGTCGCCTAGTGACGTAGCCCATCACATGCTATGCGGCAAAACGAGCTTGCCATGGCGCGGACAAAAGCCCAAAGAGGAAGTGCATCGTCTCGGTATTTACGGTGTCTGGTTAACTTTTACATTTTGTGATAGTAATTATATATGCAACTTGAAATCTTTGAGTCAACAGGGTTATAGTGTCATAATAATATCCTTGGAACTCACCCACTTCACAATTTCAGAGAGAATTATCTGTGACTCTTTTAAGATTGTTTAGGGAATGAAATGTTATTTTACTTCATCTTGTTATAATTATTTTTTGCAGGACAAGAGTATGATGGACTTATTTTTATTACCTCTTGTGATTGTGGGAAGCAAGTATGATGTTTTCCAGGTATATCTGTCTTTTTTCTGCACATTTGGTTCTGTCTTTGATTTTGTATTTTTATAATATGGAATCCACTTAAATCGAAGCGGGACCACAGGATTTTCTTCGGTTTAACAATGTTTTCAGTTGAGAGATATTGCTCAAATAGCGGATGTTGTCAATAGCATAGTGTTGAGAATGTCATGCTTGTTTCACTTTTTAAGTTTTTTTTTTTTATCAACCTATATCAGTAAGCACAATTTGAGCTGCAAGCTGTACATATTATGTTTTTTCTTCAACATTGTGAGCATGCTTAATCGGCCAAACAGTAACACAAAAACGAAGAAAGAGCAGAGAGTACTGAACACTGCACTTTACTCTTCTCTAGTCGGAATTGAGAAAAATTAAATTCTTATGACTTCATGAAACACATCGCATGCTCATGTGGAGGGGCTATGTGAACTAGCTTCCAAAGACAATAGGCCATGACCAACCGAAGGTCATGCGACAGACTTGCATACTTGCATTCACTATCCTTGTGTCATTATACAGTTTGTAGGCCCATTGATGCATGTGATAAACATAGGCAAACCATGCATTGGTGATACCTGTATGTGACATGCAGTCGACATAATGACTTTTCTGTTTTGCTATCTTGGAGCATGTAAGGCTCGATGATTTGCATTACTTGAGGGTTGTTTGGAAAGGTTTCGATGATATAACCCTCAAAATTCTCGTATGTTCTCAAATAAGACCATTGCAGCTCTTTGAGAGTTTTCTTACGTAGACGAAGATGAAAAATGGGGAATTCTATTTTCTTTTGGTTTACCACTATTTTCATATTAACCGTGTTCAGATTAAGCAGCCTCCACAGTATAATAATAATCTGTAATATTGTTGTGTCGGCTATCTGTTGTTCTTTGTTTGTCCATGCGCTTGGCTTCCGGGTACCGCCCTCTCAGGTACCATAACTTTATGACCCCTACTTAAGGCAGTAAACTAAGAATGGAGAGTTCATATTCATAGGGTGGAGGCCAAGACTTTGAGTGTGATTTAGTCGTAGCGTAGACATGGGGTAGAAAGAATATCGAAACTTTTGTGTGTGCTTTCTTGTAGTGAGTAAACTATACAGTTCTTGAACTCTGTGTTTGTTTTAATTTAAGTATACCTTAAAGAACCTACACAAGGACACCACAAATATCCATTGAGTAACTTTAATGCTCCCTGTCAATAACTATTTTTTCTTTTTAGTGCAACCTAGCTACAGAGCAAAGAAATACCTATCTGAATTATCCTGATTTCACTGAAACCACACACCCAGAAGGCCGTGAGTCAGCTTATGCGGGGCATTTATGCTACCTACTATAATATCAGGGCGTTGAGGGAAAACCAAAAAAAAACTTGATGGTTAGTGGTTCTCACGGCCATTGTTCAGAAAGGTTCTGCAAAATCAAAAAAGAAAAACAATGAATCCCTGAATTTCAAACTGCTTTGTGGTTCTAGAAATACTTTAAAAAATAACATTGTTTTTTTTTCCCTCAGGATTTTGATTCTGAGAAAAGGAAAGTGATCTGCAAAACTCTCAGATTTCTGGCGCTTGTGCATGGAGCTTCGCTACAGGTTTGTCGCAATGGCTGTATTGTGTTGATATAAAAACCTGATCTCTCCATTAATTCATTCAGCACAGAACCCTTAGTCATGCTCCAGAAGATGACCCTGGCATGAGACAGGTGCTTTTGGAACAGGTCTATATAGCTACGAAGGGCTACCATGGCCATAGGCATGATCATCACTGTTTATGATCGCTGGCCAATCCTAAAACAGAACGGAGCACTTGGTCCAACCCCCCCCCCCCCCCCCCCCCCCCCCCTGATAATGATATAAAATTGTTTGCAACTATAGTTTGAAATGTTTAATCTACCATCATGTACAGGAGTTTTTCGAAAATCCTCCAAACGATTTGTCTTCTCAGTCTTCATTTGTGATGATGTTGTAATGTCACTCAGTTTTGTTTCTCATCTCTTCCTTCTAGTTTGTTTTCTCCCATGAATCATGACCACTCCCTTCCTATTTTCCACCAATGCTCCCACACCAACTGACTTTATGACTTTAGTTTTATAGCATTGATCCACTACGGACTAATAGCCATGACATAATCTGTTACTTGTGCTTTATGTATTAGGGAAGAGACATTAACTTAACCACAGGCTGTTACCCCAGGACTGTTGTGTTAATGAGACAGCCTTGGGCCATGTAAAGAACACGAGTATAGTTAAATAGAAAAATATTACCATGACCATCTTAATTTCACCAGGCAATACTAATTGCAATATATATCGTTTTTCTACCTTGCTCTGAAGTTTAGTGGCTCTTCAGCTCCTGTTGATATGTGAGAAATTAGCGTTGTAGTCGTATTTGCATGAATAAATAATTGACTCAGCCATTCTTCATCTGTCAAAGGCTAAATAATGTTGTAGTGTAGCAGTGAAACATTTAACACCTGTGCCTTAAAATTAAATGTATCATTATACAGCAATAAAAAAAGTTACCATCTTCCACTCTTTAGTTTGGTATTGTTATAAATGATATAATAAATTTTACTGTTGTAGTTTTTCAGTGTCAAACAAGAACAGCTGGTATCCAGAATGAGGTCGTTAGTGAATCACCACTTGTTTGCCACAGCAGCAGGGTAAGCGTATTGGCTGAGATAATCATAGATACAAAAAAGTTTTACACTTATTTCAAATCTAGGTCCTCCTTTTAACCCCCCCCCCCCCCCCACCCCCCACCCATTTTTTACTTCTTTAGCCTTTATTATTTTTCTTTCCCCTTTTTCGCTTTTAAACGATTCTACGTCCTTACTTTTTCTAATCTTTATCTTCACTTTTTTGCCTGCTTCCTTTCCCTTCTTCCTTTCATGCTGTTTTTGTTTTCATCTTACTCTTCATAAAATGTTTCCTTTCTGTAACTCTCTTCTACTTCCCTTGTTTGCTTCATCATTTTTTTCTCTCATTTTCCTTCTCTATTCCAGCAAGTTTTTTAGTTACCCAATATACATCAACCCGTTCATAGAATGGGGCAAGACACTATTATTAGCGATAGAAACAGCATTAAGAGAAGGCAGCATGTAGTTGACAGTATACATTTATAACAACAAATGCCAGACTTGAATTGAAAGCTCTTATGTTTTTCCTAAAATGTTTTGCCTCAGCGGTGTTTTGAGTCAGAAGATCCTTCAGAATTGTCGGAGGCGGGGGTAAAGGTGGTAAATTCACCTGTCTGTTCATGTAGCAAATAGACTTATTTTCTTCCTGAAACCTTTTTGCATTGCAAAATGGACAAATTAATGTCATTCTTCTCCCTTGCTTTGGATAGTTTCATCTAGTTTTCTAATTTTGTTTTGTTTGGGGAGGGGGGTGCATACTTTTATTTGATTTCATTTTGTTTTATCACTCACTAAATGATTTTTTAAATCCTGGTTTCTCCTCTTGTATGTGTCTCATTCTTCATCTGTTCATATTTCATACCTTCTGTCATTTGTCTTGTTTTGCTTACTTCATGTGTTCGTATGTAACTTTATTTTTTTCCATCTGTGTTTTCCTAAATCATTTTGTGTTGCTCTTCTGAATGCTTTCATATCTCCTCTCTTTTTTGTTTAAGCTTTGAGCTCACAGTCCCAGTTGTCACGCTTGCGTTTAGAAGTAGACTGAAGTAAGGTTTTGTGTATGTAGAATGAATATTCTAATCTAAAGGCGATTTTGCCTTGTAGACATAGCACCCTCTATAACATGAGAGCATTAACTCCAATTAAAGTCATTTTCAACCTTAACTTACTTTCATGTTTATTTCTTTTCCCATCAGAAAAAGTCTGCAAGTTGATCACAACAAACCACTGTCTGTCCCCACTGGGCATGATTCCCTGCAACAGATTGGTCAGTATTTGAGGGTTTATGTAGTTTTTAAAAAATGAAGTTGAACTTCGTACAATACACAGTGTAGAGATACTTTAGCAGAGAGGGCACTTGGTCCAGTGCCAAGACACCAGGCTGTGAGTAGTGACATATTCCTGGAAGAGGGGAAAAACAATGCTACCTCTCTTGGATTCAAAACTCCAGCCTCACTGTTGCATAGCAAGAGTTCACTTTTTCACTCCTCGATAAAATCATGGAATCTATGAATACTCCAAATTACAAAACTGAAATGTCTAAATAAATCATCCTGTAAAAAATTCTTAGTAGATCTGTACTCATTTCCATATTAATGAAAATTTAATGACACCTGGATTATAATTATGATATATGAAATTTAGACTGTGGGACAAAATTATCCATAGCTTAAAAAGTAAAAGAATTTGGTGTAAAGTCGCACTTTGCAAATTAGCAAAATTTGATGACTGACTTTCAACATTATTTACACAAGGCTGATACGAGACTTGATTTTGATAAATGAAAAAATTGTAGTTAACTCATGATTTTTAATTAAACTAAATAGTCAAGGCCTTAGCCTGAATAATATCCAACTCATTAAAAATATTCAGTTTAACATTTGCTTGCTTATATCTATGTTTATTGATTCTTGCAAGTACAGTATACATTATGTATATTAAAACTCCTCAGGCACACCACCACTTTCTGATTCTGATATTGGAAAAATCCAAGCAAAGTAAGCATTCTGACATTGTTGTAATGTCCGCCTATTTACTTCTCAGTGCAAATATATATCTTAATTCATGTACATTATTTATCAATTCTCTTTATAGTTAAACCTTTAGTTTTATTGCAGATCTTTATTTATAACTGATAATCATTAAACTTTATATGTCAAAACTTATTTCAGCCTTCTTTATATGGTAATAAATTTCATCCTTGAAACATTCTTATGTGTCTAGTGCAAGCTGTGCACATCTTCATGAGATACAACAGTAACTCTTTTGCTTTTAAGCTTAAAATATGAAATTGTTATTCTGTACTTTTGTCACTTTTTGCCTTAACAATATCAAAACTGATTCTTTTCAGAACTCCAATGGAACTGTGGAAAGTTGCCTTTTGTGGATATTTCCAGCAAACGGTGAGGAAAACCTATAGAGCTGCTAGTACAGCGGTCAGAATTGTACAGAAAGTAAAACCGACATCGTTTTCAGATTGTAACCCGAAAAAATTTGCTAGTTTCTATATAGGCCTACCTGTAGTAGTGAATAGTATAAGTGTCATACTGAGTACTAAAATGTTGTTTCAGTCTTGTGCACATTTCAGGTGAATGATTAACTAAAATAAAGAGACACTTACAGAAAGGCTTTACCAAATTTTCTAGAAAAGTAGATTTTTAGTTCTAACAAAGGGAAGCACATGGACATAATGGTTATTCAGTGCAGGGGAAAAGAAAAAAGGTAAAATGTACCAGCGACTCCCTCCAACTGACCTTCCGAGATAAGGAACTGCTAGGGATCATTAAGTAATAGTTGGTACCTTTTTGATGCATTATTTTAGATTCATGTAAAGTGAACACTGCATGCGAAGGGAAATGAAAATAAAAAAATTAACACCTCAATGTTTCCTTTTTTGAAGTAAAAACTACTTGTAGCGTTTTCACAGGTATTTCTTTTTTTCTGTTATATTTTACTAGTGTTTTCAAATCCCACATTTTGATGTTTCAGAGTGCAAACAACCCAGCGATGGTCGATGACCCTGCAAAGGATCCTCAGTTTGCTGAGCCAGCCATTGACACTCTCAGAGCTCAAAAAGATGAGGTACGATAAAGTGCTTGTACTAAGCAAATGATCATGCCTGTATTCTCACCAGTGCCTTCTGATCAAATATTTTTTTCCTGAATACTTTATAATAAATATTTACCCTGTTTTGTCACCATTGCACAGTCGACAAACTTTCTTCTTTAGCTGCAAACTAAAGAGTTTTACTTCCTGTTTGCACAATATGATCTTTTGAAGTTGTGAGCACCATAAAACTTTTACCAAACTTAAAACGCTTTGTATTTACAAAAAGTATTTCATGATCAGCAAAGTCGAAACAACGGAGAGTGGTTGACGGGTGCTCTGGTGTGGTTTGCTTCTTTTTTCCTATGAAACATCTATCGTCATTATCCCCTCTTCTTCTTTTTAATGTTTGTTACTCTCTTGTAACACCTCTAATCTTCTGGCGCACATATGACCTTATGCAGTTGCGAGCACCGTAAAACCTCTACTCAAACTAAAAAGTCAAAACAGAAGAAAGCGCGTAATCAATATTATAATTTATAAAGAGAAGTTTCTTTGGGAGAGAAAGGAAACTACAATTGTGAAATATGTCACTGCTGTAGTCTTCTCATCATTCTTTTGTATAAACCTTCTTTTTTATCTGTCCCTGTGGTTTTATGCACCCCGCATAGTTTAGCAAAATTTGATCATGTTTTGCATAATTTTCCTTTATCATTCTTTGATAAAGTTAACAGAATCGCAAAAATTCACATTTTTGGGCTCAGTTTGCATAATTTCAAAATTGTTCTTGCATAAAACGACAGGGACAGTTTTATCCTCATAGAATTATAACGGTTGTCAAATTTCTTCACAGGAGCTTGAGCGGTACAGAAGGCTGGCAGAGAGACGAGCAAAAGAAGCACGCAGTGGTTATATAGCAGCATGATGTTCTGCATGTTATTTTCTCTATTCATATTTTTGAATACAACGTCTAATTTTATCTGTGATATTAATAGTTTGTTTCTGATTGTTGTTAATAAACACAGTTTTTAAAAAAGTGCTTATGATGCTTGCTGAATGTTTTGTGAAAAAGTTGAGTACAGTGAACTTTATGACTTCTTTTCCTTATTTTTCAATCCATACCATGTTTCTATTGGTGTCTATGGAGTACTAGTTACTTACAATACAGACATTTTGCTCCACGTAAAAAACGGGAGTTCAGTCATTCATGTACGAGATGTTTTGTTATATTATTAAAAACAGGTTTTCCATCTTCCAGCTGGGATGTAGAATCCAGTTGTCCCCAAAAGGCAATGTTTTAGTTTAAGCAGCCCACCTCCTAAATGATAACTGTGTCAATTGGGGGCGTAAAACATTTCCAATCACAGCCCATTTCAGTCATATTTTCATCCATGTTGTTGCATACATTCATGAGTTTTATCCTTTTTGTCTTCTAATGACCTCCTCAAGCTGCCTCTCCTAAGGCTACTACTGTTATTCAGATGTCTGTTATTAGCTTTGAAACAGCTTTTCATGCTCCTTGAACATTACTGTTTAGCTGCTTTATTTTGAAAGCGATTCTTACAAAAAGCTTTTAACAACATAACCCACCTGAGTGGTTAAGACAAAGCATCATGTTAAAAGATTTTGAGGATAGCGAAGTGACCAACATGATACTGGTAATTCAGTGCAGGGGAAAAAGTAAGATCAGCAGAAACAATACAGAGAGAAAGAATAGAAGTAAGAATTACCAATGGAGTACCCAAACCAAAGGCCAAGGAAACAGTCTACCCCAAAACCGAGAAAGAGAGAGGGGGGGGGGAGAGCGAGAGAAAGAGAGACATGACAATAAAAATTGTATACTAAGTAACTTCTCACTTGTTTTTTTATTGTTTTATTTACCAGTATAATTTGCAACTTTCTGTATCATCAGTCTTTTAAAACAAGAAAAAAATTTGATCAACTTAGCTGGGTAAAAAAAAAAAAGCCCAAATGTCATGATGGATGTCAAAATATCATCTGGGATACATAAACACACGTCTTAACGAAATGACAAAAACATACATTTTAGGCTACATTGTATTTTAAGGAAAGTGTAAAACAAAAAAAATAAAGTTTGTGTATTCAACCAAATTTTCTCTTTCAATTCAGAGCACAGACATCATGCTTACCCATATGTTTAATATAGAAACATTTTCTAGCTACACTGAGGTAACAATCTGTGCTGTACAGGACCTCTGAAGGCTTGACTTGAGCACAATATCAATATTAAACATATGAATAAGCATGATGTCTGTGCTCTGAATTGAAAGAGAAAATTTGGTTGCCGAGAATTAAAAAGTGCAAAGTTTTTCAAAATATAAACATTCAATCTTTAACTCACTTGCGACTGGGCCCTTTCACCAGTCACAAGCGTTGAAGACTGGCGTTTTGGGGGGCATTTCAATAAATCACCACAACTCTCAGAATTACCCTATTGTAATTATTTTTTGACACAGTAAAGTAACATTCAAGCTTAATCTAATACAAAAAACCAAAGTTGTCTAAGTTTAATACTTTAATTTGTATGATTTTTTAAAAATTGGCATGAATTTGATTTTCCAAAAAATTTCCAGAGACGTGACAAGTGGAATGAAATTCACTACAACAACAAAAATAAAAGTTCAAAGTGTTCTGGTTTGATTTGTATACATGTGCGAGTGTTTGGTGAATATATAAAAGCTGGTCTGTGCATTGATTCAGACCCATACACTGAATTACATGAGACAGATGTACGGCACGACGTTGTGATTTCGTTGCGCGAAAAACAACACCGGTACTAGTGCTAGATCTAGCCCTAAAACTACGACTCGGGCCGTGTTCAGGTACATATCCAGGATCCTAACTATTAGACACATCATATTCTGAGACACTAAAACTAGTAAAACGTACAGAAGTATAGAAAACAGCGAAATTATGTGATTCTGGTTCATGTGACTTCTTCGACCGTTACTACGACGCGACTGTCGGATTACTATGAGCTGTATAGAAAAAAACAAAGCGCGAGTTCCGGTCTGTTCAACCCCAGTTGGGGTCACTGTCCTTCACCTTCAATAACTTAAAAACTACCGGCCCCAGAGATACGAAACGAAGTCTAGGTAGCTCAGGCTTGGCCAAACAAGGGTACGAGGCGGGTCTCGCGATCCGTGCATGATTTGTAGAGCGAAAAAAAAATTCCAAAGTTGGTCACGCAGGGCTCGTGTGACCCGTCGCGAGCGTCGCGGCGGGGGTCACGCAACTGTTGTGTGACCCGTCTGAAGTGAGTTAATAAATGCATAAACTCTTATACAGTGGAACTCGGATTCAACGAGGTCGCCGAGCCTGACCTAAAATCTCGTTGAATCCGAGTGTTCGTTATAGCAAACATGAGGTTTTGTGTAGATAATTAGAGGCACTGTATGTATAAAGAGGCACTGTAATGTATAAAGAGAAGTCACCAGTAGTGCCTGAAATGCCTGTATAGTATGAGCTGTGTAAACAAAAAACCCGATCATCTTGATTGTTTTTATTTAAAAATTGTTGTGTTGCTGTGTCGAGCCTAGCATACGGCAACTTTTGACTCCATAGACCAGTGCACAATTCATTACATAGATCTACGTCAAGACTAGCTTATCATTGAAAAAAAGACTGTGACGCGTTTGTATATCTGCGACGTTCAATGCCCGGACCGCAAGTGCCCCCACCCCTTCCCTAACACGCACACACAGTCACACCAGTGCAGGCTGCCCATTGGACCCCGACACACACCAGAGTAGACACGTGCACTTCCACCCAGGAAAAACCCACACGTAAGGTGGTTTTGGAAAACCAGGAGAAAGAAACAATAGCCCTTGACTGTGGAACAGCACAAAAAACACAAAGTAAAGCCTATAAATATATATATATATATATATATATATATATATATATATATATATATACATATATATATTATATAAATCAAATATGATACTGTATCATTATCATTTTATTTCTATCATCCATTTTCCAAGTTAGTGTAAGCAAGCTTCGGTCATTTTTTATCTCAACAACAATTACGCTTACTATGTCTTGTATGGTTTGAAACTAAAAGCTTATTATCTCATAAAGAATCAGTATGTTCTGATTTTTTAAAAGTCCACCACTCTTAAACTTGAACATGCTGTAAGAACGACCTGAGTCATCGACCATTCGTCAAGAGGAAATGGTACAAAAAAGTAGTAATCTCAGATCTTTTCCTCACCCAGGACAAAACGATTTTATTTACACAGTATCTTCATCGATGCTGGTTAGTTCATTTATAGAATTTTCTGACACATAATTATAGCAGGTTTTAAAATGTGAAGGCCGGATGTATTTTAAAGGCAAAATGTACGGATGTGCAACAAGTATCCAGGACATAACTGGAAATTTTTGGTCAACACAGGAGAATAAAGATGTGAGACATCATTGATGGAAAGAGTCTAGACTGAAAACAACCTCTAATGAACTCTCTTCTTCGTAATGTTTATGACAAATATATATATATACATATTACAAGCAATTTCCACATTGTCGTCATTGAATGATTCATCACACTGTTCCCCAAAAATAAATAAAAAATCGAGAGTATGAAATAAGACTACTTGATTTGTAAATATTCAATTGTGTTCTTCTCCAACAGTTCTCTCTGTCTCTCTGTCTCTCTACATTTAAAAAACTACAATGGAGTTCACTTAAAAACCGTACATCGTTAATCTGAAATCCAAGATAAAAGTATTAAAACCCAAGGAAAAGAAAATCCCAGATTTTTTTTGTCTTTGTAAGAAAACTATCGATAAACTGAAATGGTCCCATTTCTAACCTGAAAAAATTTCAAGGGTTATGTCAACTAAATCTTCATCACCAACCCTCGAGTAATGAAAATCATCAAGTCGTAGGTACTTCAAAATAGTGAAACAGAAGGAAGAGATATGAAAACGCACATAATATGTCGATTGTGGGCCAGGGAGAGGCCTCATTTGTGTGTTGTTTGCCTACATTTATCACACTCATCAATTGGTCTACCTACTGTGAAAAGGTCTGGCGAAGTAAAGAAACCAAAAGTAGGTCTCCCTCTTGGGACACTTCTCATCACATATGTAACATACACACATAAACATTTCAAAATTTTCTAAATCCAGCACTGTCTTCTTTTTGTTCTTACTCTCCATCACTTAAAATAGATGTCACCCAAGTACTAGTTTAAATATAATAAGTTTTCTACCCAAAGAGCCACATCTCCATCCATAGTAAAAGCTTTGCACACATGCAAGTGCCAAACTTGTCACCTGTATTTGTTACAAACCAAAATAAAATCCGACTACCGTACAAATGACATTATATTGCATTATTATCCATCATGGCACAACACCATAAAGTAATAACTCTATGATCACATCTTCAGCTTCAAGTCACAAATTGCCCTGTGACTGGGAATGGCCACTGCACCAGCAGCTGCAACGCCGAGTGAATCTCCAACACTGGCGACCCCTATACAGAACTCTTTGTGTTCAGGCGGAAGCTCATTAGTCATTGCAAAGAATGTATTGACATATGCTGCCCCACCTAGGAGTCCTTCCCATAGGATTATCACGAAAATAATCCATATACTGGGAATAAATCTATAAAACACCTGACACAGCAAAAGGGCAAGATTTGCAAACTGCAAAACCGGCAAAAACCACAACTTCCTGATGTGAACAATATTCACAGAAGACCTTGAAATGAAAACACCAATCTGGTAATCCACTTGAAACCACCTGTACTGCTCGCTCTTCGACAGCCATTCTCCGTTGTAATACAGCAACTCGTGAAGACCCTGGTTGATGAAATACTCGGCAAAGTAAACTAGTGTGAGTGGAATCATATACTTGAACAGGGAGGGAATCAGGACTAACTTTTGTCTTAGAGTCAGTTCAATCTGTTTGTCTTTCATATCAGCCAAAAGTAATTTTGTTAAATCAGAGTCCTCTGCTTTCTTTTCGTTCACGACAGGTTTTGTTAGAAGGAAAATGTAGGTGACCATCATGAGGACTGGAATAGTGACCATTATGAGAAGTGATGTTCTCGGGGACATGCCTGCAGTGGTAAATCCTGCATAGACCAGAGCACCAAAGACGCCAGCCCCACCTGTACCAGATGACCACATGGACACAACATTTTTGTGGTAAAACGTGGTCAGACTCAAGAATGTGATCTCACCAAGTCCACAGCTCACGCTTGCACACACCACACCCAGGATGCTCAACCAAATCTCATGAGCCATGGCCACAAGAACAAAACTCCCTAAGGCAAAGGCAGAAACCAAACTTATTTTTATACTGTAAGGAATTTTCTGCAAGAAAAGCGGAAATGTCAGCTTCAGAAAAAGGGTTGGCAAAACATCTGCAAGCAGAATTGCACCTGTGCTAACCGGATTACATTCTAAGTAAGTTGCATTTTCAGAGCCAGTGGTAGTTGTCACAGGAGCTTCTGTAGTAGTAGTACCGGTGAAGTTGAAGGTTGAATTGGGAGGCGACTTCTCTTCTTCATCTAAAATATCATGTGCAGCACTCAGCATCACGACATAAGCAAAGTTATTACACAGTCCAAAGATCCAGAATGAGGCAAGGTTACGCCGGTAGGCTATCTTTTCCTGCCTGGCAATGGCTCTACAACTGACATCATAATCATCGTCAGAGTCTGCACCTGGAGGTGGGAGAGCTGCCATTGTGTTTGCTGCTCACAATGTTCAGTCAAATCCCCTTGTGCATACTACTGGTACCTCCCTGAAGAAAAAAGCAAAAATGAGTTGCCTAGACAAACTTACAAAGCCAGAGCTGGTTTATAGTAAAACTATAGACAATTACAGAAATGACACATAAAGCTAACCTCCCATAAAAGAAAAAGAAAAGACGGTTTCACAACCCTTTAACTGACTTTCAAAATGTTTTGGGTTTTTTATTTTAACAAAAAAGTTTTTTTAGAAGTAAAAGTTTTGCGGCGCTTGCAACACAATAAGGTCATATAAGTGCTGGAGAATCGAGGTGTTACAGGAGAATAACATACACAAAAAAGGAGGAGAGTTTTAGAAGTTTAGTTTTTTTAGTTTTAGTAAGAGTTTTACGGCACTTGCAACACAATAAGGTCATATAAGTGCCGAAGATTAGAGGTGTTACAAGAGAGTAACAAACACAAAAAAGAAGGAGGGGGATAGAGACGATAGATTTTTTATAGGAAAGAAGGAGCAAACCACACCGGAACACCCGGCAACCCCCACTAGGAAAGAAGGATCAAACCACACGTCATCTATATTTGGGTCAATCACAGAGGTGTGCTAGGTGCTCGTTGTAGTTTCATGTATTTTAATGTTATGGTAGGCTACTAATTATATTAATTTTACAGTCTTGTAATTTGACACTTAAATTTAAAGGATTTTGTTATTTAGAGCATTTGAAAATTTGAAAAAGGGGCAAACAGGCTATTTAATTTAAATTTAAATGTCATACATACAAATACTATGTGTCCCTATCGGTCAATATCAGTCATATGAAGGAAATTTCAAAACTGAGTTAACATTATTTTTAAAAATATTACCGTTTCCCTACAATTTAAAACAAGAATGAAGTAAATGTGACCATATTTGTTGAAAATACAGAACTTTTAATTGTGCGAGGTGAGGAAACACGATTTAAGGAGAAAATGGCCTCCGAAGTTCAGCAACATGTTTTCATAGCAATGGGGGTCTTAGAATTGAGATAGAGACTTGAAATTTAGCAGTTATCTTGGCTATGCCACTATAGGTAACATAGAGAAGTAGAAACTTTTTCATTCGCAAAGAAATAACTTATGGACAAAACAGAATTTTCACGAGAATGGACTTCACGTCAAATGAAACAAAATATTAGCATTATTCTAGGTAACAGATACTAAATTTTCAAAGTAGCTGTATGTCAAATTCATCCGTTACTGTTTCATGTGAAAGGCCTATGTCTCCAGAGAATTTTGGTACCATACTTTTACCTCTCAATGTTTAAGATAATGGCAGCTGTTTCAATTTAATACATAATAATCAAATATTGCTGAAGTTGTTAACTGGCTGCAACTCCATGTTTGACAGATAATAAAAGAGTACCAAGAGCACCAAACATCTCTACATTAACAGAGTACAATCATTGTAACAAAGAAATATAGCCTACTTTTTTTCATGACTGTGAGATCATTACATTTCAGTATTTTATTGCTTCAAACACAATGATCTGTCAGTATTTCAATAAAAACACTGAGCGTTGTCTCGACCAGCGCCGCACAAGTCCCCGCAGCGAGAGAGTCAGCTCAATACTATAGTGTACTGAGTGCACCCGGTAGTTTCGCGGAAGGATTCAGGCAAAATAATTCCAAGCCGATGACTTTATTCTAATAGAAAAAGAACTGTTCTTTCTATTGGTACCCTTTTAGCCGGTATTTTACACATTTCGTGTTAAAAATGATATATTCGAAAACTTTTTCCCCCAAGGTTTTCTATCCAAACGCCAAAGGCCAAAAGTAATAACCACAGGAAATCACGCTCAAAACTGTATAGAGTTCTCCGTCACTGAAAAGACGATACTTAATCATCAATCTTTTTGCAAAGCATTCGAATTCATGGGTGTCAATTTTAAACCGGCCCACCTCGCATTCCGGCAGCGAGGGGCTTCCCTTTCCACGGCGATTCTCCAGCTCCAAATACTCTGACAAACAACTTACACTATTGTAAAGAAGGCAGTCTGAACTTTTTCAAAGTGCTCAGCATGTGGTATTTATAGCAAAAGAGCAAAGAAACAGATCTGAATTACCCCCATTTTACCGAAACCATGCGCCCAGAGCCACGAGTCGACTTACGTGCCATGTTTACCCTATCTACGAGGGACGTCCAGAAAGTAACTACCTGTTTAAAAATAATTATAAAAGAAATAATTTCTCCAACCAAAACGATTTATTTTCTAATACCTCATATATGATTACTTTTCCAAGTAGTCACCAGAAGTGTTGAGGCATTTGTCGTAGCGTGGGACGAGCTTCTTGGTACTTCTCAGTCTCAGTAAAAAGTTTTTGGCCGGGCAGGACTTTGACTCAGGCGCTGATCTCACAGGAGAGACTGGATATTGGCTGACATCGCAGGCAGCAGCTTTCTACGATGCGGGCATTCAGAAGCTCGTCACACGCTACAACAAATGCCTGAACAGTTCTGGTGACTACGTGGAAAAGTAGTCATATATATATATATGAGGTATTAGAAAATAAATTGTTTTGATTGGGAAAATTATTTTTTTAATAATTATTTTTAAATGGTACTTACTTTCTGGACGTCCCTCGTAATTATATGTTTGCAGTACAGTAGAACATGACTACAGCGGCACCCACTACAGCAGGACCATCCCTACAGCGGGACCTTACCGGAATCCCCTTTTTTTCTCTATGTAAACTCAATTACTGGCCAGTTCAGTGATGAGTGAGGTGGGGGCAGGTGGCAGAGAGAGATGGTGCGGAGAGACACGTTACGTGAGCCACTCCAAAAGTGATGTGCCGTAGCTTAGTTAGAGGCTCAGTATGAGAGGGTATAGGCCATAGCCCTAGGCTTAGGCTAAGCCAAAAAGTAGAAGAAGAGGTGTAGTGTGTGATTCCTGATTCATTGAATTGCGATCGTTGATGCTCATAGGCATACATACGCATCCACTTCACCAGTTCCACATTTGCTCTTCCGGTACGACAGACAGCACAAGCAACGAAACCGAGGAAAAGATGGCTTCCAACAATGACAAAAGGAAATGATTCTCACTTGAATTAAAAGCCGAGATAATCAACGAAGTTGACAAGAAAAGTAAGACTAATTAAAAGCGCAAGTTTTATTGACATGGAAGGGAGGTATTCATGAGGGTTTTTGGAAGTCTTTTGGTAATTTCCCCTTTGCATTCCTATAGCTGGAAATCGCTTACAGAGGGATTTTTATTCTGGAACAGAATGTCCCGCTATAGCTGTGTTCTACTGTAGCATCATAAACACACGAGAGCAAACACACACACAAAACACACGCGCGCGCACACACACACACACACACATACAAACACACCAACACACATACGCACACATGCACATAGACTGCCTCGCTGGCCTCTTGGTAAGGAGTCCGCTTTGAAGGATCAAGAGGAAGGTTTTAATCTTTTAAAAGCACTAAAACAAATTAGAAACGAATTTTTAAAGTCAATCTAAGTGCAAAACAAAAAGACCAACAGACGATAACAGCTAGCAGGGCACGCCCACAGTCAGCTGTTTATGCAAACAAGCTTGAAGTGAGCTAGAACGTTACCATTTTTACTCCGTGTCAGAGTTGTCTACATTTCAGACCATTCATGCTCGAAAGGGGGCAAAATCTTAAAATAGTAGCGAATGAAGAATGTTGAACTTGAAGCAAAGGTGGCCATGAGGTAATGGTTCTAAAAATAATCTCACAGCTACACACTAGCAAGGTTCAAATTCCTTTACTTTATATCTCGTCACGCAAGCTCATGACACACCTCCAAAATAAAATATTTATAGTTGATTATAGTTGTGTATTTTTATCTTAAATGAAGCAGAAGACATCAAACTTTCAATAAAAATCCATCCGAAAAACAAAAATTTCATGGAAAGTCACCTTTTTGCTTTTCGAACCTCGTAGCTGATAACATTAACAGCACATACTGCGTCTTACGACAGATATTGATCAGGGCAGACCGATAGATTCTATATATTTAAATATAATTATAATTATTTTGTTATCATTAAATTATTGCAAGTGGCTATTCTCCGGCGTCGCGCCAGTCAATAGATTGGAAGCTATTCTCCGGCGTCACGCCGCTGGTCTATTTCTTATGAATTACAATGTACTTGTGAGTGCAGATTTTGAGATACAAACTAGATTAGATCTCTAGGCCTAGTAAGCCTATCTTTCATTATATATTTTATCTATGATAATTGTCTAACATGGTATAACTTTATTCATTTATTTTGGTCGTCAATTTGCTTATTTAAAAATGATTCTGTTTCTTTAAACGAACAAAATTTATTTTGTGTCTAAAATCCTGTCTTGTCATATAGTAGATAAGATCTACAGCTTGCTGTTTAACTTATCTCTTGATATAATTTTTCGATAAATTTAACTGATATTTCACGACTTCAGTGCTTTCTTGTCGTATCTCCGTTTTTGTAAACAGTGAAAATGTAACTTCTTCTCATGTTCACTCTTTGTTATGGAACCGTGTCACTAGAGGTGAACACGTTTCTTCCAGCACCTAACATAATTCTAAATTGGAGGAATTGAGGCAGTTTGTGTCTGAAAACCTATCGTCTGTATCAACGGAAGTGGCACGAAGTGGTGAAGTTTTATGGGAATTTTTTCCCAAGACAAACAGATGAGAGAGGTATTTGCAAATCTGCGCCGAAAAATAATTCATTAGTAATAGACCGGCAGCGCGACGCCGGAGAATAGCTTCTGATCTATTGACCAGCGCGACGCCGGAGAATAGCCACACTTAAGCTAAATTATTATAGCCTAGATCTAAGACTAATTATTGAATTGAAATTTCAGATTCGCAATGCAATTGCAATCAATTGAATAGATCTAGATCTATATTCTAGATACTAGAGTCTAGATCTAGATATTAGTGTATAGATCTAGATCTAGAATCTAGATAGAATAGATGGCAATTGTTGAGACAAATTATTTATTACCTTCTCTCTCTCTCTCCGCCTCTCTCTCTTTCTCTCTCTCTCTCTCTCTCTCTCTCTCTCTCTCTCTCTCTCTCTCTCTCTGTGTGTGTGTGTGCGTGTGTGCGCGCGCGCGCGTGTGTGTGTGTGTGTGTGTGTGTGTGTGTGTGTGTGTGTGTGTGTGTGCGTATTATGTCTTTAGCCCAGAACGAGATATTCAATCTTTCATTCAAACTATTTGCAAACGTATTTCATATCATGTAAGCATTTTTATACAGTAAAGAGAGCAGGAAAGTTGATAGCACGTTTTTTGGGGTTTTTAAAAAAATTTCTTGCAACTAACTACGAGACAAGAACTGAAAACGAAAGCTCTCAATATTATTGCCAGGTCTCCTCATCTGAGAAACTCATTATTGGTCAATGTTCCCTTTACTCAACTTTACTGTCTTATTTTGTTCTACACCAAAACTGTGTTTGTGTTTATATTTACAGACAGACAGACAGACAGACAGACAGACAGACAGACAGACAGACAGACAGACAGAGATTTTAGATCAGTTCCTACACTCAATTCATTCTTTTGTTTCAGCCTCATAACCGTCTCTTTCAATGACATTTGCCGATGCTGATGGTAGCGTCTATTCAACGAGATGAGAGTGCTGTTTCAGCATTACCCCAGTTTCAACAGTTATCGAGCTCAGAAAATGCTTTTTAAACACCTTTCCAAAATACTTTGATGCCCTAGCCTCAATTTCTCAAGATTACCACAGCCTACTGCAATGGCATCGACATTCTTCAGCACATCACACGACAGTTCGAACATTGATAGGCACTAGTGGTATAGGTATAGTGATGAAACATATCGTGAGAGTGATAATAGTGAAGAGGAAACTTTAGATGAGAATTAACTTGCTCCTCACCCCATTGCCAAAAAGAAAATTTCACCAATGAAGAAAGATAAAGAAGTAGGTGACAATGACGGATATGCGCTTTTTTTATTCTGCCTTTGAGAACCACCATCAAATAAAGTGCCAGCAAAATTTACAAGGAAGTGCAAAAGCTATGGAGGCTGAAACAATATTCACAAAATCAGCCGAACACTGAGGTTTAGTATACAGCAGGATGCTGTGTGACGGAGATGCCAAATCTCATCAGATGCTCAATTTTTATGGAATTTATGACTTTGAAATTGTAAAAGATGACTACACACATCGCATTAGCAAAAGTATGTTCAACGCCCTTCAGAGCTTCCAAAACACCAACAACGAAGAACTGAGTAGAAAACTAAAGAAGATTGAAAAACAGAGCAGTTACAAATGCCTCACAAAACCTGGACGTAACAGTTACTTGCGTTCATTAGTTTTAGTTTTGTTTTTGTTCGGGAGCTGTTGGTTTCTTACCGAGCCCGAAACCTCTTTTGCACACAGACCCTGTAAGATTTTTAACATCTGTCAGTGAGGAATAGAGGCCAAGAAACTGCCATGGTTTTGGGTGGCCTTGGGTGGAATAAACAAAGCCGCTCTCGTGAGAATCACCGGATGCCTTGGTTTAGTGGGCTACATCGCGCAAGTGCTGGAACGTCATGTCTTACACTTGTTTTCGTCAAGGTGTTATTCAAGTAGTCATCCCCATGCGAAACACGTCATTTTCTCATAGGGCCAATGCCATTACAGAATTCTTAAAAAAACCAAATCAAGTCAACGTTCGAATAGTTAGTAGCAACAGCCCCGATATGAATCCTACAGGTATGTGAAGTCCTTTGAAACAGCGGCTGAAGAAAAACGACTTTGCCCCCAAATTCAGACCCTTTGTTTGCAACTCTCTGTGACATTTGAAATGAAATGACTAATAAATATGTCCAAAACTAAATAGAATTGATACCCAAAGGTTTCGTGCACAGCACAAAGCCAATGGTTCCTAAGCAAAATAACAATGAACACAATTAGTCTTGAGTCGAAGTTTTGTGTGGTATCTGTGATTGCTCTGTTTTCCGTTATGTTTGAAACTATCGTGACAAAATATCGTAATAAAATATTGTTTATTGCAAAGACACAATTCTCCATTCACTGGGCATTCAATATATTGCCATTCGATTAATATTGATACTTTTCAATAAATGCGCAAAGACAATTTTACATTTCTTGGATTTCGCACAATTTTGCCAAGCCTTATTTTTTAAGGTCAATTTTGAGTGACACTATCTCGGGCGTCTCTTAAAATAGATTAAACATTAATGTGCCAGATGATGAAGAATTTATTTAGCTTTAAGTTGGTATGCTGCATGAGTGGGTAATGCAAGGCTTTAACACGGTGACTGGGTGATTACATTTTCAAGTTTCTTTTGGTCGCCACTGTATAACGGACTACGTTTACAGTAAGTTTTGCACGTCCAAACTTTTAGGAGTTTTCTCTCAAATTGGGCTCTTTCATGGGGGGTGGGGGGTGGGATGGGGACACAAAAATCTATCATGCGAAAAGTTGTTAAGATATCGTCATAATTTTCGGTATACTGATAGATGAAACATTATTCTAGTGTAATAAGTAGTGACGTTAAAAAAATCTTGAATAAATGATTTTATTATAAATTTAATCCGTTGTTTGGATCTGAGATTTTTGTGGTCAAAATATTCCCATATTTAGGACCTCGATTCTGGAAAAGATTTTCCTCCTACATCAAAAATGCCAAGTCCATCCCCTAAAACAGCCACGGAAGGCTGCAACACCACTTATTGTAACATTTAAAATCATTTATAACCGTATGATAGATTTTTTAGAAATGTGTGCATTTTCTATATATGACATTCCAATATGGCAGGCGTTACCATAGTAACACAAAAGAATTTTCAAAATTTTACTTCATGACTTAATTCTCCACTCTTTTTATATTGATGCTTCCCAATGATGCTACAACATTTGTAAGCTTAGTTTCTTCTTCTTAACGAATTTCAAAATTTCTCCCGCATCATGCCTTAAACCGGCAGTGGACACTCCATCTAAACGAAGCTTGAGTGCCGTGAACGTAGCCTTCACAGCGCCTGCAAACTGCATTCAGGGCGCCGTGAACGTAGCCTGCCAACTACATTCACGGCGCCATGAACCTAGCCTGCAGACTACGTTCACGGCGCCGTGAACCTAGCCTGCAGACTACGTTCACGGCGCCGTGAACGTAGCCACTGCGTATTTATTAACAGACCTGTCCTGAAGTCACTCAGTTCACTCATGAAACATGAGAAGACATTGATGATGAAGGAATCTAGGCCTCTATATATATTATAGATCTACATCTAGACTAGATTCTAGATCTAGAATCTAGATCTATCTAGATTTAGATTCCAGATTCTTGCTGGCTATTATTATCATGAAAGTGGCTATTCTCACCCGCCCGGAAGTTCTCGCAAGATCAACTCCTCCCCTCTTCTCTCTCTCTCTGTCTCTTTCTGAATACTGTCTATCGGTGTTGACGATCAAATTGACCAAAACAAAGTTAAAAAATGATGTTAAAACACAAAAGTAAATAAATTTGGTTGTCTACAAAGATGCTACGGCTATTTAACTTTTCGAATCGAGCCGAACTACGCGGGTCGCCATTTTGTTTTGCCCGGAAATTCTCGCGCTACTCCTCTCTCTCTTTCTCTCTCTCTCCACTGCCCACAGACAAAATTGTACGCTTTTAGTAGGCTACAATTGTAATGGAACGTTTGTTCACGGCACAGAATTCTACAATTTTTCTGTTATCACAGTGTAGAATTCTGTAGTTTAGGGTGAACGCAAAATTTGGTGAACGCGCACCGGGTGAGAATAGCCACAAGACTCGCCTGCACTATTCTCACTCCGGGTGAGAATAGAGGTGGCCTATTATCATTACGAATCTCGAGGGGTGACTAAACTAACAGCATCATAATCATAATAATGTCCTCAATCTCAACTGTCCTGTCAGTCAGCTTGTGGCGAGTATTTTAAGTATTTAGATCTACTAGAATCTAATCTAGATATAGATTCTAGATTTAGATCTTAAATATAATGTAGACAGGGAAATAGGCTAGCCTACATCACGAAATGACACTCACTCACCAATACAATAGGCCAACACTACTGTCAATACAGCTATTCGGACTATTCCATCCAGGCCAGTGACTTTATACTGACTGAGACTGAGGGAGGGGGCAAACTTTTTAATCCGAGTTCCGAGTTTGGCCTGGAGATGTTTTCATAGCACTTGTGTGTGGCAGCAAAGATAGTGAATAACAAGATGGGCCACTCAGCCAAAAAAGTGTCCGCAGGAAGTATGCTCTTTGCTTCAGATGGCGCTGCAGTCTGTTTTGAAGCTCTCTTTCGTTTTCCCAGAAGAAGAATAGGAATAGCACCTCCTTGCGTGCGCAGAACGACTGCTGTTCAGTGTTCATCAGCAGTTCGGGTACGTTCAGTGCGGAGTTTTAGTTTTTTAAAATTGTAATGACCTCTCGCCTTTCATTCTAAAGTCAAATTAAACGAAGAAAACCATCACCCTTTCCTCCGGTAGAGGTTTTTTGTCAGCGTAACCCTTTTTTAAAAAGCGTTCTTCCGAAATTTATCCCAAAACTTGCTAGTTTCACTTTGATTTTTTAAAACTCAAGTTCGCAAAGAGTGCGCTTTTGTAAAGAGGGCGCCACCAAATTTTGAGGACACTTTTTAATTGGCTCAAAGAGAGAAGTGGCCCATCTTGTTATGTACTATCATTGATGGCAGTCACCTGATATCTATATTTAGATTTTGTTTTCTCAAAAAGTATGGTGCCCATCAAGGAGTTTAGAACTTACTTTTAATCTCCTTGGTGCCCATACATTATTTAGATCTAATTTTTAGGCCTATTAAAAAAAATATAAAGAAAAACATCACAAATGTATTATAGAACATTTTAAAAATAGGCCAAATTAAAACCCTTCCCATTCATTCGAAAGTTTCAGTGGCATCAATTTTACATGAGCAGCAGTGACCGATCACAATTTCCTGCCTCCCGACTAGCCTAGCCTAGCCTACTTTTCTTTTCAAGTTCAACACCAGCAAGTAGCAAGAACATCTCCAAGATGGAGGAACAGTCCGAACGTATAAATGACGCTAGAAGATGTCAGTCGCCGTCCAGCACGGATGTAGATGTGGAAGAAACTACAGATTCTTTAAGAAGTGAAGATAAAGGAAATGAAATGGAAGTAGATCTTGTTTCTGATACGAGTACAAGTACAAATGGGGATTCGAGTTGTAAAATTAACGACAGTGTATCTTCAGGCTCAGCCCCAGGCACCTTTGTGATGCCAGCGCCACTTTCGCTTTCAGTTCCAACGAAAAAAGTGAAGGATATTTCTCACTCAGAGTCTTCTGCTACGGGTGACTCTGGCCCAGACCAGAAGCAGGTAGATCTAAAAGTTGATATTTCGTCACGAAATTCAGCGACGGCGTCCAGTGGCTCAAAACTAGCAGTTCCTTTGCCTTACAAGGAACCAGAATGGAGTGGTGTTCCAGAAGAGGATGAAGACTACTACAGTTTTGAAGTGCTAAAAAATGGCAAAATCATCGATACTTTTCCTTTGGAAAACAAATCATATTTTGTCTTTGGAAGACTTCCTAGCTGTGATATTACTTTAGAACACCCTTCGCTGTCAAGATATCATACTGTAATTCAGTATTCTAAGGCTTTACCAACACACGAGAAAGGGTGGTACATTTATGACCTCGACAGTACTCACGGGACATGGGTGAACAAAAGAAAACTATCTCCCAATGTATACTACAGATTAAAAGTTGGTCATGTTGTTAAGTTTGGTGGGAGTACCAGACTTTATATTCTACAGGTGAGGTTTTTATCCGATCTGATTTTTTTTTCTTACTTTTACATTATTTTTACGAAGGCTTTGTTAGTTATTAGTCATAGATCTACAGTCTATATTATATTAGAGTCTAAATAGAGTGCTTTTCATTTAAATTGTCTTTGTTGAAAAATTGATGATAAATGAAGTTAACCATGTAGCCTACTCTGTCTGATATTTTTGGAAAAACCATATAAAATGATTAGATTTTGTAATTAATCTAATCTAAAATAACGAAATAACTATTTCTCCGAACGCTTGGGGAAAAAACTTGACCTCTTTCTCCAAACGGTTTCCGTTCTCGAGATTTTTTGTTTTTTTGCGAGAGTTCGGCGTCATCTTTAATTCTGCCACTCTGCAAGGACTGGGAAGAAGCATTTTTTGCATCGAATTCAATTTCTAGCGTTATAGATTTTAGATGTCTGAATATGCAGATACTTCAATTGTGGTTTGGGCAACGTTTCTGGACTATACTTCATTGGAAAATGCCGTCAAAAGGTACTGCGATAAAACAAGACTGCTCGACTTTGGCGGTAACCTATTTTGCATTTAGTCACCCCGAAAGCCTAAAAAAATAAAATCCCCCCACGCCCCCACTCCCTCCCCCCTCACCCCCATTGACATCTGACTCACACGCACACGCACACACACTTACAACATACATACACACACACTTACATACATACACACACACCTGCGCGCGGCGGGCCACTTCATTCGCAAATAAGCTAATTTAACCCAAAGATCTTGAACGGAAACCGTTTGGAGAAATAGTGTTCAAGTTTATTTTCCCGAGCGTTCGGAGAAATAGAGCCTGCCATAAAATAAAGTTGAGATTGAAGAAGCATACTCCACAATCACTGCTGATGGTTTTGAAAGGAATTTTAAAGAATATGGCAGTTTGAAATGATCTGTTAGAGGTTAAAGCGGTTAAAGAGGTCATGTTTTGAAAAAAATGCTATCAGCCACTACGCACATGAGAAAATTGAGATCCGTTAACATGTTGGTGAGTGGGGGTGCATTGCTCGAGCCGTGGCCTTGGAACATGAAGAAGCAGACTTACACTACAGAGCTGAAAATTACTGGCTTTTTATTTAGCACTGGATGACCAGGACTAAATAGCCATGTTGCCGATCGACCATGTTTTTTATGTTAAAAAGTAAACCATTTGCACATGGTTTGAATAAATAGTGACTTTACATTTCAAAACATTGATGAAGTTTATTTCCTCAATATCACATCACATTTCATTACATGTACAACATAATGCACTTGGCAGCCATGTGGGGATAATTTCCCTTTCTCCACACAGGGCTCTGCGAGCTATGTATGTCACAAAGCCTGAAGGCCGACTCTTTGGGCAAGGGGAAATAACTCAGTATTATATTGTCCTTCATCTATTCTTAGCTAAATTGTTTCTCTTGATGTTGGGCATTTATACTATCTAACAGAGGACAATATTTAAACCCCGTCATACTGCCAGCCCTGTTTTGCCACCAACTTTATGTCTCAAGATTGATGATATAAAAGGGTTTGACTACTCTTTCACATGAACTATTGATTTCAACAATTCCGGGGGGGGGGGGGGGGGGGGGGGGGGAAACCACAACTGTAGTGCAAGAAAGGATAACCAAATTTTTAGGGCCTTTGATTTGGAAGTTTTCATGTACAGCCGAAATTGTTCAAGACAGCCACCCATTGTTGAGGAGAAGAGTGGTTGTCGTGGACAGGTGGATGTTTTGGACAGTGTCATTATGATATTTTAAAAGTGTACGGATAAGAAGTGATAATTTTAGTCACCAGATGATTTATCATGTAAAATATTGTAATTAACATGGTCAATTTGCAGGGCCCAGTAGCTGACCAAGAGGAAGAAAGTGAAATGTCTATGACAGAAATGAAAGAGCAAAGAGAAAAGCTGAAAAGAGAGGCTGAAGTTCTGAAACAGATGGAGCTTGAAGCTGAGAGGCAAAGACAGGAAGCTCAGCAAAAGCTGCTGGAGAACAGAGGCTGTGGATGGGGAATGGGTTTGTAAAGTATAATAATATATATATATATATATATGAAAATGAGTAGTAAATTAAATGTCACATCCAACCCCCAATTTTTCCTTTCGATGTCTTCAGGAGATAAGGTTGCATTGTTCTTCCAGCTGGTATAGAACATCCAAGGCAGATATCTGCTTTAATATCTTCGTGTATCTGGAGCTGCCTTGCTAGGTCATATTATTAGCTTTTGTTTGGTCATTGCTGGTGACTCCACAAATTTGTACGGTCCAGAATAAAGCCCAGTTTGGATGGCTCTATTTTATCATGGAAATCATCATGTCATTTTCTTTTTATTAGATTTTATGTAAATTTCCAACTAAATAGTGTGTATTTTATGCAGTTGAAATTGTCCAAGACGGCCACCCATTTTCAAAAAGAAAATTGCTTTGTATCTTAGACTGATGGATGTCTTGGACAGTGTCATTATGATTTTAAAAGGGCGGGGGGGGGGGGAGTGGTCATTTGTGTATAGGTGTTTGTTGTCTTGGACTGGTTGAATGTATATATAGAGAGAGAATATACCAATTAAATCAGTTTAGTATTTCCTTTCAATTGATATATGCTGTGACCAGGTATAAGTCTGAGTGATAGGACGAAGTATGGAATGTGTTTCTTAATCATACAAGTGTATTTTCAAAATACTTTATGGAGATATGTGGTGAAAATGTTGTTGAAGTTGTTGAATTGATAAAACGGGTAAAATGGCAGCTTTTGACTTTAACCTTGAAATCCTCAGGGGAAGATGCTGAAGATGATGCAAATGAAGAGAATCCTTTTGCTAGCCTTGTGCCTGAGAATGAGAGTTTGTATATTGATGACCCCAAAAAGGCGCTCAAAGGATTTTATGAGAGAGAAGGTGAGTGGGTAAATAAGCTTTTATAATCTAATTGAATTATTAAACTGATTAGAAAATCAATGTTTTGTGTCCAAATAGTGATGTTTGGATCTCTTTTTTGTTACTCCACTCATTTGTAAGCCGAAAAAACCCCCTTAAAAACCAGAGCTTTTGTTGTAAATGGCCAGTAAAACATTTTTAGTTTTGACTTTTCAACATGGTATGACAAATATATTCTCTTTTAGAATAGGAGCAATGTGAATAGAAATGAAAAGTTATGCTATTTTATTCCTTTGTCATATTTGATGTATTTTGATTCATGTCGTTACAGGTTGTGACTTGCCGGACTATCAGTTTACTGAAGTTGCCATGGGAAAGCACAAGTGTGTCTTGGAGTAAGTCACTTTTATCAGGATGTGAAAATTTTTCAGAGTAGGCCTACTGTAGATATAAAGGTTCAAATAACAGTTTTCCATATGTGTTCTGTATGCTCTTAGTTCTATCAAGTTTTGTTTTTCAAGTTACAAATGTTTGTAAGTGATGCTGAATTTTACAGTATCAGTAGAACTCTCAAAATCGAAATCATTTCACTGTTGACGTTTATTTTGGGAAGTAGAGGCGCTTATGAAAATTTTTGTTTTGCTTTGATGATAATGTACCAGTTTTATTTTGTTTTCAGTCTTCCAGTAGATGGACCGAATGGTGAGGAGTTAGTTGCAGAAGTGGTGGTTTCTGGGAAGAGGAAAGATGCTGTTATTGCCTGTGCTCTTGAAGCTTGCAGAATGCTAGATAAACTAGGCATGCTCAGGTCATCGAAGCATGGTAAGTTTCTACTCCCCTCCCCAACGTTCCTCCTCCATCCCTCCCTGTTTAGACCTTAATTTTGTATATGATTTTATTTATATCAGTTTCACATAAATACGATACATTTACTGGTGGAATGTTATTTTGTTTATTTTATGTCCTTGAATTTATATTTTCTGAGAGACATCAAGGTTTGGAGATTGTGTGGTAGAAGTTTTATATTTGAATAATTTGTCTTTAATTTAAACCAGTCAGTACTGTAAATCATGTACTTCAGAAGTGGGTATGAATTTTTATCTGCTCATTTTCTGTTTCAGAGAGCCGAAAGAGAAAACAAAAGAAATGGGAAGATGATGACTTCTATGACAGTGATGAAGACACATTTCTTGACAGAACAGGAACTATTGAGAAAAAAAGATTCATGAGAATGAAGAAGGCAGGGAAAGATGAAGCAGAGACTTATGAGTCTTTAGTAAGTAGGCTGTCAGCTTTAAGCTTTCAGTTTTTTAAATGATTCTTGTTCACATCGTGCATAATGTCAAGCAAAGGCAGTTCAGTGTTTCTGTTGCTTGGTGATAACAATAGATTGTATATTTTTGTATGTGACTGTGATTTGATATGAACTATACCTTTTGTTGTTTTTTTTCTTTCACAATTTTTATTAATATTTTTCCTTCACTGGTTTATTGATTTTCCACTTTCTAGGTACTGCCCATCATTATGAATTTGGCATTGTCATGATTTTTATTCAATTTTATAAAAATACGATCGTAATACCCTCGATTCCGATTTTTTTAAATTTCGGCTATCCGAACTCACTGCCAACCTTTTCAGTGTACACGGGGAGGAAAAACTACCAGACCCGGACTGTGTACGTCACTATGTGACATGTTAGTTGCTGATGTCAAACTTTAGCATCTGCTTTGCCTTGAGCCGTTGTAGTCGTTCAGTGCCACTTTGCTCTTAGAAAAACATGTGGGTCTAGATTATAGAAGTGTGAAATCCAGGAATAAGATAAACAACAGGTTGACATGGTGTTAGCAAATTTCTGTCTCAGAGATGCCAACCAGTACGATTTTACGTATTTTAGTACGATTTTTTTCTGAAAATACGCGAATACGACTTTTGATTAAAAAATACGCATCCTGGAATGCGAAAAATACGAGATTCAGCTTGGGCGAGTAAACCTTATTATCTCAAGTCTCATCTTTTGTCAAAATAGTATCAGTATCGCAGAACTGGAATATTTGAAAACCAAGTCCGATAAGGTCAGTCAGTTCATTTTTGCCGGTCACGATCGTGATATTATATTCGTTCAGCTTTTCCCCGTCCGGAGAGTTCGTTTCACTTTCATGCGAATAGGCAGCAGATGGCAGCAGGCGGAAGCGTATGTGACACCGAGGCTCGATCGGGAAAATCAAGATCTACTTTCGCTTTCGTTACCACCGAGTAGTTTGCCAGCAGTTGTCTGCTAACGCAACATATGTGACAAGCAGGTTGTGTGCAGTATAAACGCAATGTCGCCGTGCAAATAATATTTAATCAATGCTCGGACTCGTCTCTGTGCTGTCACTTGTAGAAAAAAAAGAAAAGAAAATACAAAGGTTGTCCGATTTTTAGACTGTCTGGCTCGCCATCGTGACCGGTCACTGAACCTGCGCGCATTCGCGTCATAAATAAATGCGGCATCGTGTGAGTAAAGACCGTCTTTGGTGGGAGTGGGAGTAACGGCCTTGCGAAGTATAGGACTACGGAATATGGAAGGAGATTATTGATTTTTTGGGGGGTTTAAGATACTATGGGGGAGGGTGTGAAGGCAACACCAGAGGACAAAAACTTGGAAGCACATTTCAGAATTTTGATTAGAGCTTTCTGCAAAGCGCGCGTTGGAGCAGGCCGTGTGCTGAATCGGGACCCTTCATACTTTGCAAGTCTGTGTTATTGAAATAATGTGTTCGCGTTTCATTGGATGGGTGATAGTAAATTATACCTACAGTGTATGTTGTAGCTTTCTGTTCAAGACTGGCAGATTTTCAGTGTCACTGCATCTTGCCCTACCACAGTTGTTACAAGTCTCACGGTGCATGGGTCTACTTGAGCCATTCAAGTTTTTGCTTTTCTCTGAGTTTGAGCAATAATTTGAGGCTGTCAGTTCATAACATGAATCATGACACCCAGACTGGTTCTTGATAGTCGAAAGTTTTGTTCTAGGCCCTTCCAAACTCTCAAACCAGGATTTATTTTTTACATAGTAATGAGAGGAAAATATTACCAGTATGATAGACTGAAATATTTAAGTCAAACAAGACCCCAGTACGACACTTAACACTAACATGCTGTTGACTGGTTACATGTATATTGTACGCGTGTGTGCTCCCTTTTTCGAGCTGGTGAGCTAATAATTTTTTTCCAGGAAATACTACTGGACCCCATTAACAATTTACTAGTTGGTCGGTCGGTCGGTCGTGGGGAATACACATTTTCCCCTGAAAATACACATTTTCATATTTCCCAATACTCATTTCGGTTTTCTGTGGTTGGCATCTCTGCTGTCTTTTTGTCTTGTGTAACTTGTTATTATTATTATTATTATTATTATTATTATTATTATTATTATTATTATTTCTTTATGTACTTTCCTTTTTTAAGATGGAAAAGTACAACAAAGTGGTGGCACAAATTCAAGATACAGAAAGTCAGCTGGAGAAAGCCAAAGCTGGTAAGAAATTTTCATCTTCACATATACGTTCACCAGCATATTGATGTATTGATTCATTCTCTATACTTTTAAATACATTTGAATAAGAAGCCCTGATGCAGAATGTTTCAAAAGTATTTGTGATGATGAAGGGGTTTTTGTGGCACCATTGATTAGTTACTTTACCAACTCGCAGAATTTCCTTTTTTTTTCACGGCCTGAATATCAGGAATGCACTGCCTAGTAATTTCAGAGAGATCCAGCTCTTTAATTCAATTAAAATTCGACTCAAGTAATTTATTTTTTCAGATTAAAGAGAGATATGTAGATTTTTGGTCAGAACACAATAATATATTGTCTATGTGTTGCTACCTGTGTTTGTAAAACGCTCAGAGCCTCTGTTCTTTAACTCACTTGCGACTGGGCCCTTTCACCAGTCACAAGCGTTGAAGACTGGCGATTTGGGGGGGTATTTCAATAAATCACCACAACTCTCAGAATTACCCTATTGTAATCATTTTTTGACACAGTAAAGTAACATTCAAGCTTAATCTAATACAAAAAACTAAAGTTGTCTAAGTCTAATACTTTAATTTGTATGATTTTTTAAAAATTGGCATGAATTTGATTTTACGAAAAATTTCCAGAGACGTGACAAGTAGAATGAAATTCACTGCAACAACAAAAATAAAAGTTCAAAGTGTTCTGGTTTGATTTGTATACATGTGCGAGTGTTTGGTGAAAATATAAAAGCTGGTCTGTGCATTGATTCAGACCCATACACTGAATTACATGAGACAGATTTACGGCACGTCGTTGTGATTTCGTTGAGCGAAAAACAACACCGGTACTAGTGCTAGATCTAGCCCTAGAACTACGACTCGGGCCGTGTTCGGGTACATATCCAGGATCCTAACTATTAGACACATCATATTCTGAGACACTAGAACTAGTAAAACGCACAGAAGTATAGAAAACGGCGAAATTCTGTGATTCTTGTTCATGCGACTTCTTCGACTGTTACTACGACGCGACTGTCGGATTACTATCAGCTGTATAGAAAAAAACAAAGCGCGAGTTCCGGTCTGTTCAACCCAAGTTGGGGTCACTGTCCTTCACCTTCAATAACTTAAAAACTACCGACCCCAGAGATACGAAACGAAGTCTAAGTAGCTCAGGCTTGGCCAAACAAGGGTACGAGGCGGGTCTCGCGATCCGTGCGTGATTTGTAGAGCGAAAAAAAAATTCCAAAGTTGGTCACGCAGGGCTTGTGAGACCCGTCGCGGCGGGGGTCACGCAACTGTTGTGTGACCCGTCTGAAGTGAGTTAATCAGAGTAGGGTGCTGTATAATGTTATATTTATTATTGTTATTTCTTATGTCTTCCAGTTTATTTCCTGCATCAATGTTCTTGCCTTCAAACTCACCTGTTTTAGGTCTAGTGGTGTTTCAATTTTTAGAACATAACCAAATAAGCATGGTAAACTTTACATCAGTTTAAGAATTCATGCATTAACTACTGACCACCACACCTGTCTTTGAACCTGTGACACGTGGGCTTTGGTCGTACTCTCCAGTGTTTGATTGTTGCTCATTCTCCTCATTTTGCTCAACTATAAAGGGGTCCATAGCTTTTGTCAAAGATAAAACTGTAAAATGAATGATAGTTTCAAAGCCTCACAGACTGCAAGGCTGCTCTCAGATGATAGATTTAGTGATGAACGAGGTGGGCAAGGGAGTTATTTTAAAGTTATTTGGGCCTTTGGTCTCAAGGAATGCAAAACTACGAGCTCCACTTATTGGAAACGACACTCTGTTTACAGTCCCTCAGTGATGTTTAAGCTCGGGCACAGTGTTACCTCAGTGGGTGTCAAGCTCTGCGACAGTGCTGATGACCCTAGTAAAAGTTAAAAGTCCTCAGTGATGTGTTCTTGCTCCTGGGTTATATTGGGAGTTTAAGGGTCCCCAACTACTTGGCTCTGTTCAAATCTGTTCTTTTGCTGATGAGAATTAGATTCAAGGTCCCACCTCTCAAATAGCCTTACAGTATTAAAATGGCATCAAGCCAGTACTTGTACCTAGTTTCTTAGTTCAAAATCCTGTGTTGGTTTGTAGGTGGCTAGCGGGCACTCTGGTGTGGTTTGCTTCTTCTGTCCTATCAAATATCTATCGTCCTTATCTCAACTCCTTCTTTTCTTTGCATGTTATTGTCTAGTAACACCTGTTCTTTGGCACTTATATGACCTATTTATGCTGCAAATCTCTTCCTAAACTAAAACTAATGATGGTTAATGTGTGTGGCTGATAGAGGCAGATGCACGTGTGTCCGAGGACATAGATGAGCTTGACGCATACATGAACTCCATCAAGTCCGGCGCCATGGACACAAAGACTCGCATGCGTCTGAAGGGAGATCTGCTCAGGCTCAGGGTAGAGGAGCAAAAGCTGAGGAAGCTTGTCAATATTGCTCAGCCAGCGTCTCTTCCTCCTCTAAAGCAACCGTAAGTCCATTAGTAATTATTTAGAGAAGGTGGATCATGTCCAAGATCCTTTTCTATTTTCCTCACTTTCTTCCATGCTCCTCTGATAGATCTTTTTTTTATTTTCTTCACTATTTGTTTACGTTTCTCTGATAGATCTTTCTATTTTCTTCACTTTATTTTACTTTCTTCTGATACCTGGATACCTGGTGGTGTCATCTCTGACTCAGAGGTTGACGTGTAGTAATGACCCTCCATCCTTCACAATCGTGAGCTGCTGTTGCACATTTTGCCATATCCAGACCAGTTCATATTCTTATGTTGTCCATCTATGTTATTCTTTTGCCTTCCTCTGGCTCCCCTGCCCCACATCTCTTCCTCAAGCACCTCTTTCACAATGGTCTCATGTCGTTTTAAGTGGCCATAGTATTGTAGGTCTGAAATTTTAGAGCGCCATTGTGTCAGGACAGTACAGTGAAACACTTCAAACATAGTGACCATAGTGTTTTGAAAAACATGTCTGATGGGGTTTTTCCCCTCCAGATCTGCTGTCCCAGTCAAACCTCCAGCAGCTGACAGCCTTTCCAGAAAGCTCCATGCTCAGCAAAAGCTGCAGAAAAAAGGCCCTCCTGTCAAAACTGTAAGTTTATTTTGCATTCTAAATTCCCTTTTACTTTTATATTTCAAACAAAAAATATGTATCCATTGGAAAATGTTTGTTCCTTTTTATTAGGTCATGTCACGCCTTTCTGACTTTTAAAGTTTATTGATTAACTGATTCCGTCCATTCGGCCGCTGATAGCAGCTCTGAGTTTTTCCGCTGCCTCCATTCGACCGCTGTGAGCGGCTCAGCGAAATTCGAAACAAATGTGCACTTTTTAACATAGTTCCTACTTTTTAAGTTGTGGAAAGAAAGTAGAATTTGTAAACAAGCCTGACTTCAATCTCTGAGCACCAATATCGATCGAAACTCCTCAAAATTCTTGCAAAAATCGTTGTTTTGTTATCGCTATGTAGGCTAGATCTAAAAAACACGGAGCCTGGTATAATAAAAAGGCCCTTCAAAGAAGGAGGGAAAATACAATACGAACAGATTATATGTCATTGTTACTGATATAATCAGATTCCTCTATTTATTCCCATCAGTTTGGTATAGGACAATACATATTAGAGTAACTTAGAGCTTTACAGTAATGCATTAAATAGATGCATCCCAGGTCTAAAACTGAACAGGGAAAAATAATTCTGTCCACAGCCTGAAAAAATCATGGATGGAATCAGTTAAAAAGGAAAAAAGAAGCAGACTTGTTGAAAAGAAGATGCAAGAGGAAATGTTACATTTCTGATTTTTCTATCATTGTTCAAAGGGAAAGTCTTCTATATATATATGTACTGAAAATAGATCCCCGGCTTTCTAGTGACACACACACGGATGATAATCTGCTGAAAAAAAATCTATAGAGCCATCCCTTTTCTTCTTTTTTATATTTTCTTAGAGGAAGGTTGCATCTAACAAATAAAGAAGAGTAAATAATGGCTCTATCACTGCTTAGAATTTTTTCAGGAGGTTATCTCGGTAATATGTGTGTCACTTTTCATGGAATGGCCCATTACTATTTTGAAATGGTTCCTGGCATAGTTTAGCATTTTGTTCATTTGTGTCGCTCTGAGAAAACTGCTGCCGCAAGATGCAACGGCTTTTAAAAAAAATAAGCTTGGAATTTCATTTCTATCTCAAACAAGGTTATTTGAAATAGGGTTAGTTTTACTGTTTCTAAAACTTAATTGAAAAGGATTTTGCTTTAATACTGTTCCAAATATTTGTTTAACAAATTTTTTTCAGTCATGGAGAGGACAAATTTTTCTAAAATCTGAAATTGTTTACTCATTTGGATGGAATCTCAGTTTCGCCTCTCGTTTTACAGGCTCAACAAACTGAATTTGAGCAAAAACCAGATGACTTTGAGGAACAAGATGAAGAGGAGGAAGAAGGCGAAAATACACACATTTCTGACAAAACCAAAGAGTCATCAGCAAAGAAACCAAGTTCATCACCAACCAGCTCTTCCAAATTCGAAAATGTACAAACTAATGAAAAGAAGATCTCCAGAAATAATGTTCAAACCTCAAAGACAGCTGTTAAAGGTCCTACGTTACCACCCAAAGACGTCTCCAAAAAGTCTAGGGAAAGACATGCCAATGTTATGTCGACGGCTGCTGTTTTGAGTAAGTGTAAACATGGATGTTTTTGTTTTTTAATTTCTCCATCTGAAGACATTTGACTCTGTGCAGCCCTTTGATATCACCTTTTGACCCCACAGCATCAATGTTAATAATTTTTTTCCTTAATTTATTGTTGACAAGAAGCACATAACCTATGTCGATGAGTCACATAACTACATGAAAAGAGATATAATTCCTCTTTTGTTGATTTTCAGAGGAAAATTTGGTTCACAATGGTATACATAAATACATACATATAATGATTTATTTCCAATACATAATACACAATGTCACACCAATATCAACAATCAACATGCCTTTGTTGGTCTCCTCAGTGCAGTACCTTGTTTAATAGATAGTGCTATCATGTCTTTCTCAAGGACACGCATCATCGACCACCCACATAATTTCTATGTCTCTGACATGATAAGTTTGACTTTATTGTGAGCCTTAGCTCACTAACGACATGGCTAACATAGCATTATGAACCAATAAGACTGAAAGTGCAAACAACTGTTTTGGGCTTGGTACACTTTTTGATTATCATGATTGTCATTTGTAATGAAAACCATGAAACAAAATAATTGGGTGGCTTCTAACCAAAGACTGCTAGACAAAAAGAATGGGGAAATCTTTTTTTACAAAAATCAGTTGCTTTCTCCTTCGTCACTAATACCTCTGAATTGCAGACAGTCGTTTATGATCCTAAATTTACACATACTTTAAAAAACAAACATTTTAAGGTAAAATATAACTGTAAAAGATAAAATGTTTTTAAAAATTTCTCGTGGAAAAGTACTTCCATCATGTTAGGGAGACCACTTATAACAAGTCCGGAAAAAACGAGAAGTCTGTTATAAAGACACTATTCGAAAACCCCGTTTTTTTCTCCTCTTTACCTTTGTAAATAAAATACTGCTATAGCGCTATCAGACAAACATGCGAGTCGGTTATAGCGGAATATTGCTGCTGCTGTGCACAGTGCATAGGCCAATTATACATAATGTAAAACCTCGCCTGTTGAGAAACTTGTTGGTGATCTAGCGAAACAAAGAATGGGAGAGTCCACGTGTGTCAACAATGAAGGCCGGATCGAATGAGTAGGGAGGGTGTGGCATGCGCAGACAAGCTGAACACATCGCGTGATAGGCCAGCGTAAACCTAGTTTAGATTATCAAGGCCTACCATGCCTCTCACTTCTCCTATGTGGGGATTGAGGGGTCTCAGCAATGTGATGGATGGAGCGAATGTGTGACGTGCGCAAGCAGACGGAATGCACCACAGGGTGTTGTGGGGTGGGGGAAAAGACAGCGGAAGAGTTAGCCCAGAGACCTTTCTTTCTGATCGCCAACACCGAGCTGTCAGTCAACATCGCTAGCGCTAGAGAAAGAAACCTGATTCGATTTTTGATCAAGTAAGACCTAGAGGTCATGTTGAAACAAAATCATCCTCAAGGGAGATAGCAAAAGGAAATAAACAGAACACCAAACTCATAGATTAGGCCTTCTTTACAGTTTCCCTTGAATTTATTACTAGATCCTTTACAACGAGAATCCTGCTATTACGGACATTTTGCACCGGTCCCCTCCTTCTCGTTATAACAGGATTCCACTGTATGTAATTTGCTCTTGGTTATAAATCTTTATGATTACACCTTGTACCTTGTTCTTCTCATTCAGATGCAGAAAAAGCTCAACAGAAAATATCAAAGTCCTACGAAGAAAACGACCCAGATTATGCAATGTGGCTTCCCCCTGAAGGTAAAAGGACAAGAGTCATATAGACTCTTAAGAAATTTGTAGCATCATCACAAAATGAGTCCATTCTTTGATTACAACTATAAAAAAAACATTGGTATACAAAGATAAGTCTTTGTGAGCTTTGCGAAGCGGATAGAGGTTTTGCCAAAGCGTGTCAGTTGCCGCATAACAATTAAGGTCTGGTGCCTTATAATGCATATTTAAGGTATTGTGTGATGACACGTCTCAAAACATGCAGTGTGTGTGTGTGTGTGTGTGTGTGTGTGTATCACATTGTGCAGGGGCAAGATTGATGGGCTCATGTTATCTGACACTCTCAATGATTATGAATGTGTTTATTTTCCATCATGCACGCAAGGTGATTTGAATTTGGAGACAATTGTATGGAAAAACTTTATCAGGTCTTTTGAGATGAGCTGTTTGACACGTACGTGTGAGTGTTAGTGAAATGAGTGCTGCCAATACAAAGAAAATATAGCAGTTCTATAAGGCGTATTGTTTGAGGTATCAGCAAATTCAAGTTTTATGTGTTCAAGTTATCTGTGACTGATTGTACACTGGCATTTTTTATGCATTAGTTATGCTTTTATCTGTTGTATGCAAAATACATTTGATTCTGGAGTGTGGAAATTATTTTATCAAGTGTTTCTTTTAGTCTGTTGTGATGCTGTTAATGCAGCCCACCTTCTAAATGGACATCTAGATTACAGTGGAAACCTGATATATATCAGGGATGGTGGGACCAGAGAAAAAGTCCTGTTATATCATTTTCCTGTTAAATCAGAAATGCAAGGGAAGTAAGCATTTGTGGACTTAACCAGCTGTATTTATTTATGGATAGTTTCCGTTGCCACAAGTACCCACGAACAGGGGTTTTGGCCATGTGGCAGGCCTGTGCATGACACATTACGTGGGACATTACTAAGCCAGGCTTAGGGCTAGATGGAATTCTGCAGCACAACGCAGCCCTCTCTCGCTTCACCTGCTGTGTGTGCTTGCAGTGGCGTGGCTGGCTCTCTCTCTCTCTCTCTCTCTCTCTCTCTCTCTCTCTCTCTCTCTCTCTTTCTCTCTCTCTCTCTCTCTCTCTCTCTCTCTCTCTCTCTCCCTCTCTCTCTCTCTCTCTCTCTCTCTCTCTCTCCCTCTCTCTCTCTCTCTCTCTCTCTCTCTCTCTCTCTCTCTCTCTCTCTCGTTAACGAGTCTTTGTCCCTGCTAATTGGGCTCCAATGATGCCCGTTATTGCCGATAACTTTTAATAGAGACAAAAAGTAGGAAAAAACGCCCTGTTATTTCTAGATCCCTGTTATTACCGGGCCTGTTGTATATGGTTTCCACTGTATATTGTTTGGTTGGAACATTAAACATTTGATCAAAATTTATCTAGAACCAAATATCTCTCAACCAAGTGTTAAGAAAAAAATGAATTGAATTGTACATCTGTATTTTCTTTAGCAGTTCGTATTGATTAATTAAAGTCTTTGCCATATGAAGTAATTAGAAATGCTCACCAGTTGATGTAGGTAACCTAGTAAAATTTTCAAGATACCAGCCACATAGTTAGAGCATACCATTGTTGATATAATGTGCTTTTATTTCACTGTTCCTGTATGCTGTAGTTTCAATGCCAAAGTGTTTATGTCCTAACAGCAGACAGTATTATGGTGTTTTACAGAAGGCTTCAAAATGTGTAACTGGGTTTTTTTTATCTTTCATTCCAGAGCAATCCGGCGATGGCCGCACCAGCCTCAATGACAAACTAGGGTACTAGTAGGGTACCAGATGCTGATCTGGATGATGACTCGTTGCTGATAGGGAATATACCTCAGCTTGAATACATTTGATGATGAAAGAACATCACTAGTGGACTACATGGATACATGATATTGATAGGCAAAGTGAAGCTCTACCACGTGAAATGTGAAAATTTGGACTTCCAAAAATGATAGCATAAATTAGTTGCTGGGCACCTTTTCAGTCTGTTGTGCCCAAAGCAAAACAGGACTTACTACAGCAATCTGACGGTCATGCTGATGTTGAGGTTTTTCCGAATGTGTATCACAGTGACTCGCTGTATAATTAAATTAGTTTTAACCGATCTGTGTATATCATCATCATCATCATCAATGCCTTTCACCCCTGGCAGGGTATAGGCCACATACAAGCTCCTTCCATTTATCTCTGTCCTGAGCCATCCTTCCAAGCTCGTTCCAAGTGAGCTTCATTTCTCTCATGTCCCTTTCCACGCATCTCCTCCATGTTTCCCTATGGCCTACCCCTGCCTCGTGCTCCCTGTGGGTTCCACTGCAGTGACTGTCTTGTGATGTTTCCGCTGGGCTTTCTTACGGTGTGTCCCATCCATCGCCACTTTCTTAGTCCTATTTCTACTTCTATATCCTTTTGTCCTGTCCTTTCCCACAGCTCTTCATTTCTTATTCTTTCCTGCCACATAATTCTTAAAATACTCCTCATACATCTGTTGATGAAAGTCTGGACCTTATTCAGTACTGTCTTCGTTGTCTTCCAAGTGATCTGTGTATATAGAATGTGTATATATGTGATGATTTCATTTCCTGGAATGTAACTGAGTTACAGTGTAGATATCTGTTTGTCACCCAACATTTTATGAAGTTCTAGGAATATTTGTTCTAGAACATTTAAAACAAATTACCTTCAATATATGAAAATAAGAAGGGGGGGGGGGTTGGGGTTGGGTTTTCTCATTTGGTATCATTGGAGATGATGATTTTTCCTTTGTAAGGAAGAAAAAAAGGCAAGCAATTTTACTCATGATTCATAATTATGAAAGTGGTACAGGTTGCCAAAATAAAATTTTGCTCCTTATATTTCCTGCAGTATTGATGTCTTGCTGTGTTGGTTTAGAACATTGTTGTTGAGGAGTGAGTTGCCTGTTTGCACAGTATGATGTTAACAAGTGCTTGTCTGTGTCCATGTATGCGTGTGTGTGTATGCGCATTCTGGAGTGTGTGTGTATGTGTACTGGTAAGGGCAGGAGCTTGTGTATGTATGCATGTCGCGACCTCTGTACTTTCTTGTCCTATCTCCAATTTTAATAACGGCGAAAACAGTTCATAACAAAGAGTGAGCTTAAAAAGAAGTCTCATTTTCTATGTAAAAAAAAAATGGAAATAGGACAAGAAAGCACCGAAGTCGCGATGTGTTTAGGTGTGCGAGAGTGCATATATATCTATTTTTTCTCCCTTTGTTTGGGCATGAGTATGAATGTTTTACATTTGTTTAAGTGTTAGTAGGTATCTGTTTGAGTAGAAGAGAGAGAGAGAAAGATAGGTATGAAGACGTGAACAGAAGGCATTATTCTGATGATTTCAGCAGTGTCAAGTTTGAGAGAGATTGCGAGAAAATATCGTCAATGATTTCAAGACAGTTTACAAGAACTAATAGCTTTGCCTTTGTGGTAGGCTACATCTTTGAACCTTCAACTTTGGTTTCATTTACTGAGAGTCACTTTTCACATTACCACATGATGTTGCTTTCAAGACTTGAATGGTTCAACTCTTCTGAAATAATTCTTTAATCATAATAAAGCAAAAATGTTTTGTAAACAAAGAGTTTTTGTTTTGCAAAAACAGTTGTTTCATATAACTGTACTGTTAGTGATAATATACTTGGGAAAAATTCATTGCTCATGATTCTCTTTTGTTAAGGGGGGGGGGGGGTTGAGTTGGGGGGTTTTTCAGATTTATTTTTCTAAAACAATATTCAACTGACAGAGACCTTGCAACATGAAGTACTTATACTAATAATAGTACTATTTATTCTGGTGGAAGATAATTTACATGCTAACAAGTTGTAGCACGTCTATATTTCAGTGGGAGATGCTTTCCCTATTTTTGGAGACCTGCAGAACCTTCTCCATTGGAGGGATTGTGTCTCCTTTATCTCTCTATAAAATTGTATGAGTTTGGAAAGTTTGAGAATCTGGGTTTTTTAATTAAAGAAGCTTGTATCGAAGCTGGCTGAGGGATATAGATCATAGGTGTAGCCTGGCTTGATTTTTCTGGAGTAAAAGAGCCCACTCCACAAGATACTGGTAACGTAGTTTAGAGTTCTTAAGTCTCTTCTAAGCAAATGTGGGGAAATCAGATCTTGTAGTGTGAAGGGGCGCCACTGGTAGGTCCTACTTCTTTACTTTCCTTCTGTTTCTGTCTATCTGTCTTAATTTGTTCCAAAACTAAATGGCCATTATAGCGTCTTTAATGTGCTTCTCTTTACTTACTACATGTACTCAGACTTGGGTCTCTTCAAAATACAGTGGAGTACACTTATAACGAGTCCGGAAATAACGAGAAGTCTGTTATAAAACCCTGTTTATTTCTCTTCTTTACCTCAGTAAATAAAATACTGCTGTAGCACAATCAGACAAACATGCGAGTCGGTTTTAGTGCAATATTGCTGCTGCTGTGCACAGTGCTTAGGCCAATTATATGTACATGTAATGTAAAACCTCGCAAGTTGAGAAACTTGTTGGTGATCTAACGAAACAAAGAATGGGAGAGCCCCAAGGAGTTTAAAACTAATGGAGCCTCCTCTCTCTCTTCGCGGCGCCACGAGCAGTACGCCGCGGTGGGGATCAAATATGGCGACCGACTGTGGGCTAAATCACGAATTGTGGCGTTTCTTTTTGTAGAATCTTATCGGGCTGGGCCACGTTGTGGGGTGGGCGGGGTGGGGGAATGCACGCAAGGAAGAGGGGATGGGGCTGGGATGAAAGAGGAGGAGCGGGCCTTGGGAAGGGACGAAGGAGAATGGGAAAACTTAAATAAAAGAGAGAGAGAGACAGACAGACAAAGAGAGAGAGAGAGAGAGAGAGATTGTGATCAACTGACAGGCTGACAGATAATGACAGGGAGGAAAAAAAAATTCTGTGTGTGATACGGACTGTTCAATTCTTTAAGAGTTTTAAGTTATAATCTAGTTTAAAAATCAAAAAGATGTATAAAATAAGAAGAAAACCTGTCCAATGAACATAAAATTATCAAACATATCAAATTATAAAGATAATCTTTCAAGATGCTAAAATATTTAATTGTAAGAAATGGATAGAAATATACTTTTAAACTGAATTTAAGGCATGATTGCATGATTCTAGGCGTGTGCCAAAACTAACTTTATGTGTAAGGAATAGCGATCACTAAAAAGGATTGATGCCAGCTTTATCTGATTGCTAACAGTATGTCTTGGTCTATAAATAATAATATTATTGATTACAATAATTTTGTTTCCTGGTTTTCACAAAGTGGAGCGCACAATGATTTCAAATATTTTAAAAAAGAGATAACAGCACCTTTGGAGGTGTGATCGCGAACTTGAGCGTGGATGGCCTTTGATGGGTTGGGGGTTTTTTTGTTCAGTAAAGTATGATATGGAGAGTAGCGTGTTTAGCCCCTTATTACACTCCAGAGGGGGATAATTTATCATAGTGATGACTCTTGTGTAGTAAAATTTGTTGTTGCTTTGTTTGGTTTATTTTTTAACAGCAGAATCTTAAGTGAACCGGAATTATTGATTGTGGGATCTTAGGTGAAGACTACAACAATAGAATTAAACCGAGTATAGTTCTATCTAACAAGACTCAAACTCTTATCCACCCCACCCTACCCTCTCCCCTCATCTGATATGGTTTGGTGTTTCTTTAACATAGAAAATATTCATCATTATTGTAGTTGAGTATTGATTTCATATTCTAATGGAGCCTCCAGATATCTGCATTTAGTTAGACAACAGTAGCATCTAATTTGCACACACAATGGAAAGCAATATCTTTAATTAAAATGTATAATATATACATACACACACATAATAATTATATATATACACATAATAATTATATTTATGAATAAGAATACTTTTTTTAAATTTAGTATCTCGGTCTTTCTGCTGGGGTGTTGTATCCCTTTCAGTCTGGGTTGGCCTTGGCAGGTAGCGCCGGAGCCAGCCTCTTAATACTTATGAATATTAATGATCTAAATTGTGTTGCTGGGGGGCATAAAAACACTTTCATTCAAATTTTTAAAAAGGAAAACAACTTAACTGAGAAAACTTCGGTCCACTGCAGCATCATATCGGTTCTACACTTAAATACAACACAGGTGCAAGGCATTTTTACTAATTGACTTGCCTAATCTCAAGGACCTCGGAATGAAACCTTTCTTATCTACATTTCAGTGCGTGAGTCGGGCATTCGCGCAGAGCAGGTAGCCCACAGTTCCGCCGCGAGAGAGGGCTCCTATCATGCGTGCGGTGCCGCCCACAGAGCATCCTCCATTATTTTTAATCTCCTTGGAGAGCCTACATGTGTCCACAATGAAGGCCAGAGTGACTGAGTAGGGAGGGTGTGGCATGCGCAGACAAGCAGAACGCATCGTGTGATAGGCCAGCGTAAGCCTAGTTTAGATTATCAAGGCCTGCCATGCCTCTCACTTCTCCGATGCGGGGAAGGAGAGGTACGAGTGCTGTGATGGATGGAGCGAATGTGTGACGTGCCCAAGCTGACAGAATGAACCACAGGGTGTTGTGGGGTGGGGGACAACACAGTGGGCGAGTTGACAGAGAGCCCTTTCTTTCCGAGCTGTCAGTCAATATCGCTAGTGCTAGAGAAAGAAACCTGATTCGATTTTTGATCAAGTAAGACCTAGAGGTCACGTTGAAACAAAATCATCATCAGGGGAGATAGCAAATAGAAATAAACAGAACACCAAACGCTCATATAGAGGCCTACTTATCAGTTTCCCTTGCATTTATTACTTAATCCCTTATAGCGAAAATCCCGCTATAACGGACATTTTGCACCAGTCCCATCCCTCTCGTTATAACAGGATTCCACTGCAATAAAATTGAAGAAGCTGGCGTTTTCTGCCCGTCAATTTTTATATAATTTATTGTGTCTATTTAGTAATACATTCACACCTAAATTTTATTGGAAACCATTGATCAAAGGTACAAAAATTATAAATTTGCTGCTTGAAAGTACGCTAAAGCTTTGAAAATCCTCAAATACTGGTGACTTGCAAATTTTATCTCTAACACATGTGACCCCTACCGCCTTCAATCGCAAATATCTTGACTTCTATTTAAGATAGTTTGCGTGGCAGGAGGGGGGGGGGAGTCCTTTTAATGTTTGACTTTAATGAAGCAAAAATTTCCAAATTCCAGACACAGTGTTGTGTCAGGGAAGTAGTCTCCATGCTGCATGGCATTGTTTGTTCCCCTGCCAGGCCATTTAAACACCTTTAGATCTATTCCTGTTTTTTTGGAATGGTCCAGGTTGTCCGCTTTACCATTCTGTCATTAAGTTTCAGACTGCTTTTAAGACAATAAATAAATGTCACATTTCTGACAATTTATCACTGCGTGGCAAAGTGGATTTTTTTCATGTAAGGAACAATAAATCCCTTGGCCCATCCCAGTAGTGACAGCACTTTAGACTGTCTACGTCGTTTTATGCAAGAAAAATTCTGAAATTATGCAAAATGAGCCCAAAAATGAGAAATTATGCGGTTCTATTAATTTTAGCAAAGAATGGTAAAGAAAAATAATCAGAAATTATGCAAAAAAATTGATCAAATTTTGCTAAATTATGCGGGGTGCATAAAACCACGGGGACAGTTTAGATGGCCAAAAGCTTCCAGAGTTTTTTAAGTGTCAAAAGCTACCAGAGTTTTTTAAGTGTCATTTGTTTTAACTCAAAACCTGTTCTTTCTGTAATTTATTTTGCTTTTCCCACGGTTGGACGGTTGCACAAATTGCGCTGAAAAGCACAGATATATGAATGTATTGAAAAAAGCCTAGTAGAAAATCTAGATCAATATTATCTTAATATGGAAAAGAACAGGAATTTCAGGCGTGGCATGGACTACAAAATGGGTTAACGGAGTGAGGAGTCTTAAAAGTCGAAGCAATAACTGTTGTGAGCTCGCCAGGTTCCTGGTCACCAACATTCATTACCAGTAATATAACAATAATAACAGTAAGATGATATTGTTTCTGGAGTGTAATGCTAAAAGTCAGGGGGAAAGTTAACTCCTAATGTCCGCAAACATGTACCTTTTTTTAATCTTGGAAA